TTCTTCAGAACTTCAAAAGATGCTTATGAAAATAGCCACAAATGTAGAGATGGGACTTTCAGCAATGCTGTAAGCAGTGAGTAACTTCAGCTCCTAAGATATAATTGTATTTGCACTGATTTTTGATCCCTGACATTTCCAACACTCTGCCAGTTACAATCTCACCTGTCATTTTAAAAACACCTTTCACAGACGCAGATGTTGTGGGATTACGGATCCTGACTCAATAAAGCATTGACAATGCACCTGAATTCCACTTTAGTTAATACTAATGTACATCACAGAAGCAGGTCTTAAGTATGTAAGAGAGGTTTATCTGTGAGATCTTTACAATATTCTTACCTGTATTTTCTGTTTTACCCAGTCCAATTAGACTTTAAGCAAATATTTATTAGGAAACAGTCACACAGGCACAATAAACACACTCCCTGGGGAAGAAAGGATTTTTATTTTTTTTTACGCAATTATATTTTGAAAAATACAGATAACTCACAAAGGCTGTTTGGAGTCTGTCTTAAAAGTATCCCATCTAACAGTGTTGACAAACTTATCTTGGCTATCTTATCTAGGTCAGAAGACTGAAATTCTGGAATGTTCAGAATCTGGGTATTATTTATGTTTTTCTGTCCACAAGGCAAGGAATAAAGGATATCAAGTTTAAAAATACAGAATAGATTTAGCAGAATCTTTCTGAAATTTGAGGGACCCAAACCAAGATACCCACACACTGCTCTAAAATGTTGTGCTTTATTACATGAATGTGGCTAAGTATCCCTCAGAAAAATATTCAAAGAAAAAATCTTGTGCAATATTAGTATAATGCTACTACCAAGCTAATTTTGCTTCCATGGCATTGTACAATGCAAAAGAGTTGAATATCCCATGGAACTACAACTCTTCTAAAGCTATTTCTGCCCATGAAACTATTTAACTAGCTTGCTGAGTATTTGTTCTATTATTATCATTCCAAAAGCTAGGGGAGATTTAGGTTAGATATAAGGAAGAAGTTCCTTACTGTGAGAGTGGTGAGGCACTGGAACAGGTTGCCCAAAGAGGCTGTGAATGTTCGATCCCTGGGAGTGCTCAAGGCTAGGTTGGATGGGGCTTTGAGCAACATGTTCTAGTGGAAGGTGTCCCTGACCATGGCTGAAGGGATGGGAATGGATGATCTTAAGGAAAGGACGATCCTTTCCAACCCATGCTATGATTTTATGATTCTAAGTAATACTTAACACGTATTTTGTGAAAGTTAATTCACAATCAAATTGCAAAGACTCTCTGGAGCTTACCATTTAAGATCTAAAATGACTGCTCATCTTACATCAGTAATACTTTTTAAATAACTGAAGGCATTTGAAAACTTGAAGGAATACACTTCAGCGCTTGACTTTCTTATACCGCATATATGGCCAAACTGTTCCTTTTACAAGTGGCACAAAAGATGCAATTACTCCAAAGCAGATATTCTGGCATAACTGGATTTTTTATTTTTATTTTTTATGGCAAAGCTATAAAGATCTTGCAAATGCCATAAATTCCAGCAGTGATATTTATGTCCAACCATGCATCTGCTGTTAACTTTTGAGTTCATATTTTCTGACATACATTTTACTTTTAAAAGCATTTAATTGGACCCAAATTTCATCTACCAATTTCCAGGTATATTTCCTTTTTAACGGAATCTTTCCATCTCATCTTTGGCCACGACTTTCAGAAAAGATGTGACTCACAGCTTTGCACCTCCAATACAATTTTCTCCTATATTCATGTATTTAGAAAAACCTTAGAAAAAATGTTCTTGTGTTTATAAGTCATTATGGTCTGTCCTGTTTGGCCAGTATTTTACATTCATTACAGGTAAAGATGATCTATAATCGCACTTGTAAACAACCAGGGCCAGCACAGTACAAGAAACACGACTGCAAGCGTGACTGCTGGTGTCTCTGTTCTTCAACAATGGCCTCAAAGTTAGACTGATGGCTCTCTGGGCTTTTTGCCAACACCACACACCAATTTAAAATAGGAGGGAAATAGGCAACCTGGGGTCTAAAATTTCATTCTGACCTTATGTATAAGCTCTATGGGAGGCCTGGGCAAAGCAGAATGTTAATCTACCATATAAGGGAGGCACAGGGCAACCAGGGGGGAAAAAATACATTTTGGTATTTCGAAACCGTCAGTCTTGAAAACTAATCAAATCTTCATGTATATACATTATGTTATTGTCAGAAAATACTATTTAATGTGAATTTTAGTTGTATGTCCACAGCCCACTTTCTTTCAGCATGATTTAAACTACGGATTTTTCTGGCTTCAACTCACTTTATTCAAACCATGAACATTTAAGTTTCATAAATTTGCAGGTTTATTGATCTCATTAACTATGAAATATGGATACTACATCAGAAAGTAGATTTGAAAGTGAGGATGAAGAGAACTGTTCAGCCTTATCAGGAGAACAGGCTCTATTCACATTTTCTCTCATACTTCACAGTGGAAGCGTGGTTTTCTTTTGCTAAAACATATTTGCTAATGGATTCCTTTGTAGGAACAGAACAACTTTTTTATCAAATCAATGTTCTTCACAGAACTGTCTACAAGGAGTAAACATTTTTTCCTACATTTAAAATAATAATGCAGTGTTAAGTCCAAAACTGCAAATGAGGAAGCATACACTGAAAATTTTGCAGATGCTTACTAAGTTTAACATAACTTCCATGAAAGCTCAGTTATTAAGTTCTAGGGATCAAGTTTAACTTCTCAGTGGAGAATAACACGTATGGTAAACAGACTATTCCTCTATTTTCCTACTATAGAACTAATATACTAATCAGATATGTGTTAGTGTAATTAACTGCACTTGGATCCTTCAATTTTAAACACAAATACATAGAAAATTAAGCTGTTAAATACCTACTGGTACCATATTTACTAATTATTAAAATAATTTAACAGCATAACTCAATTTTATAAAACTACCAAATAAACATAGTAATAAATAAAACCAGTTTAAGCTATTCTGGGATGGAATCATGAAAATGAGATGCTTGAATTACGGTGCTCAGAAAACTTGCTTTACTGATCATTATTTTTAGAATATTTATATAAATTATTCTATTAGTTTAATCTCTGGCCTTTCCAAAACAAAATTCAAAGGACATTATCAACTTCACCTCCACACATTTCAGAAGCACAGAAACAAGAAATAAACCACTTTTTACTCTTCTTGTGAAGTGAGATTAACCTCATATGAATCTTCAACTTAATCCAGGTGCTACCACAAAATTATAGGTGACATATATAAAGAAAAAGAAGTATTTTTATGACAATTAATACAATGTAACATCTTCTCTTAATATAGCTCGACAAGCCAGAGATACACAACCGAGAAACAGCAACTATTCTCCTCTGGGACATCCAGGTCACCAAAACACAGAAAGCGAGGTTAATCTGAAAGCAATGGGGGAAAGTTCTGAAAGTGTTATGCCCTATTCACAATCTGGGAAACTTACAAAATTTTGTGAACAGCTTTGAATTAACAGAATGACTGCTGATAAGCAGTATACATGGATTAATATTATGTGTTCAGATACAACACTCAGATTTATAATTTCATAGAACCACAACACAAATGAATCATGCAAAGACATATAATTCAAACAGAATAAACTTCCAAGCATTGCAAACATTTACAAAATAGTACCTGTGAGTGCACTTATAAACAAATTGTTTCAACACTTCCTGCTTATTCTTGCCTTCCTTTATGCTTTTACTGAATGACTATCATTACAGACTTGATAAAATGATGACATACTCAATGTTTAGTGCAACACTGTGCAATAATGTCTACAACAGAAATAAATCTTACATTTTTGCTGTTTTCCATATTGCTTTCAACTCATTTCTTTTTGTTACACAGACCTAATACTTGATCAGCTGTAGAATAAATTTGTGATCAATTCTGAAAAAATTCATAGGAGACTGGACTTTGGCTGTTATAATGCCCCAAATAACGAAATGGGAATCAGACTGGTTTTGTTATTTTGGTTCCTGTGCCCTAGAAATGAATTGATAGTAATGGGAGTGGTTGGGTTACCAACCACAATCAACAAAAATCAACAAAAAGTACAATCAACAAAAAGTACTTTTACAACTCTTAACATGGACTCTTCAAAGTAACAGAGAACTTATTGGAAAGCTGAGGAAGATTTTCAGAGTGAAAATGTGTTAAGGTTCCAGCCATTTCTAACCCTTTCCCCCTTACTTTTAAGTACGCCTACAACTCAAACAGCCATTGACATGTGCACTCTGTGCTGTAAGCTGCTAATACTTTGAATACAATTGAAAATACTCTCGTATAATTAGATATGCAACAACAACTATTTAGATGTTTCTACTGCAATAACCAACTAGGAACCTGTTTTTCCACGTATGGATTCAAGAAGACAGAAAATGAAAAAAAGAACCAGATTGCAGGAAGTATATAAAAATATTAAAAAGAACTCCTGAAAAATTATGGAATAGTGTGATACAAAAGATATTCACTACATTAGGCCACAGTAGGTAACGACATTTTTTTTGCTTTAGTTTCTGTTATGTTTATGTTCTCCCACAAGTAGTAGTACTAAACCTTATGATACAGTGATTTTCATACAAATTATGTCCCAAACACTATCCTCGAGAAAAAAAGAATGAAGCAATGGTGCACGACAGGATTCACCATTACAAATTTTCCATCAGCTGGAAGTCTGGAAGCCAAGTCAGGAAAAAATCTGAGAGGACTGCAATCACCAGACAATGTCATTTGTAGTTTACTTTTTTTATCTGATCAACAAATGTAAGTATTCATATGAACTGTAGCACATTAAAAGCCTACATATTTACCACGACACCGAGTTCTTGTATCTGAAAAAAACATAGTGTAGAAGAATTTCCCCCCCAGATATTTATCGCACAGTTACCATTAACATTTTTTGCCATTCAATTAATCCAGTCCATACCTGCAAACTTGCCAGTTCAGCAGCTGACTTCCCTTTGAGGCAGAGAACGAGTGCCACAAATGCATTTAAGTCCTCCATAGAGAGGCTACTGACCTAAAACAGATGAAAAAATAACACATTATCTGAAAGCTCTGAAGAGGAACTTTCTGAAAATCAACTCCTCTTGCTCAAGCACATCAAACATAAATCAACAACCTCATGAAATTATGACCACCATGAATACATCATCTAAGAAGACACTTAAATGGAACAAAATACTTTCACAACTTGAACAAAGCACATACCCCAATACCTGTGTAAAGTGCGTACACATGGACTGCCACTCAGCAAACAAAATGCCCACCTTCGTGTATTCCCTTCTCTTCCCTTGGAGTTTCTTAATGACAAGAAATTTCTTCATCTCCATAACACTAAGCACAGTTAAAAAAATATAAATTTCTTTATAATCAAGACTCAGAATGAAAACCACCTCAGTGAACCACAGACGCGACCACCCTTAGGATTTTTTTCAAAGGTTTACGTGGTTATCTGTTGGAACCTTTAAAATAATCTAAAATATTTCACTTACCCACTTTAAGCTAAATTTTAAAATATAAAAAATCATATTTGGATTTGTTTAAGGTTTTAGGCTGCATACTTAAGCTGGAAGAAGTCAAAACTATAAGAAAACTAAACCTAAAATGTTCAAGGGGAAAAACATGAGGAAAAATCCTAACTTTGCATTAACAGTTCGCTCTAATACTTCTATAAGAAAAAGGAGAATGGAGGCATTTACTGTTGTGAAAAAGTAGTCTGAGATTCTACAGAGGCACATTATCAACTCAGGAGAAAGACAGTGCCTCTAGACCAGCTGGGCTGATTCCCTGAGATTACCAGTCCATTTCTGATCATTTGCTTCCTCTACCAAGAACACTATAGATAATACATGTGCACCAGGACCAAAGATCTGTTACAAATGTTGAGGCTATAAAGAGGTCTCTAAGTGAGATCCATAAAGCATTACAATTCTTTTATCAGCTGGAACTTGAGGGAAGGTTTCTGTTGCAAAGTGCATAAATGTGCATTGTGGGCTTACAGTAGTTAAAAGGTTGCCTAAAACTCTGCACTTACTTTATTTTTGGGGAATGTTATGTACATCCCATTTCAAACTGGTAAGAGTTTCTATTGAGGCTATTAAAAATCAAAAAGTGACAGAAAAAAATGAAGGGGATAAAAAAAATTATGTAGATCAGTAGGAAAAGAAAAAAAGAAACCCAACAAGAAACCCAAAACCAAACAACAACAAAACAAACAAGAAAGCCCCAGACAATAAGCAGACATCTAGAATCACTTTGTTTAGGAAGAGTGACCCATTCTTTCCTGCTGAAGACAAAAATTATTCGGCCATTACTGAGAATTCTTTTTTAAATCATACCTTGCTGCTTGTTCTACTGTAAAATACTTTCCCTTCTACAATGCTGTTAAAATTTGCATCAAGCACACCAATGTGAGGGGTATCAGAAAAACTTCAAGCATTCTAAATGCTTCTTGGTATTCATTAACTCCACCAGGCTGCTAAGATCTGATAATGGCCCTACTTTACCCTGTATTTTAAGTCAGATGTCACCTTTGTGTAGATGGCAACAAGAGAGGTTTACTAAACCTGTACATTGTATGCATTGCAATAACAGAAAAAGTGACTTTCCTCACAAAACAACCCTTAATACCCGTACAATTGTGTCCTAAGAAAAATAAGTCCAAGACTGCTTGCAAGTACAACAGCAAGGAAATGCCTCTAACAGAGCAGATAAGCCAAAAGACTTACAAATACCAAAACACTTCTTTTGAGAAATATTTTATTCAGTCACCAAGGTGGGTGGGTTGTCGTAGTTCCAGTGTCAGATTTCTTCCAAAACTGCAAGAGCTTGAAAGAAAAATTTCCCCTTTCTTTGCAGGCTCCACAGTTTGGTATTTGAATGAATGAATTTCAACAACTTTAAAGATAGACCTATTATTTTGTAATTTTTTCACTATTTCTGTTCTTAATTTGGAGGATATTTGAAAAGAACCCTCATGGAAAAGATTACTCTTCAAAATGACACTTTCTTTACATTGCTAAGATTTGTTTATTTCACATTTTTTTATTGTTTGGAAAAAACCCCAAACTTGCATCTTAAGTTTTCATTAAATACTTGCACATGAATTTTGAGGAAGCCAGATGGGTAGGTCAGTATGCTGGCTCCTGCAAAACTCACATTAGATGATAAGTAATGACATTTTTAAGAAGCATACTTCTCTCTTACATGAGCTGAAGGAAATAATGTTAGCCTGCTTCAAGGCAACCTTCAGTTGCTCATCTTAAATCACCTTTGGGGTAAAAATCTGCCCTCCTTCTCTAATACAAATGTAAGGCTAAAGTGTTAAGTAAAGACAAGAATTAGGCCACAGTTAGACAAGCACTGTTTTCTTAGCTATAAAACAAATGGAAGCAGTATGGCTAGCTTGAAACGTGGATGCTGGCACGCTTGCTCTCACGTTTTCCTCTTAAACACCCAAGTAAACAAATGGACAACTAAGCAACACATGAAACAACTCATCAGTGAGAAACAGTTTAATCCAAATCAGTTCCCTAGTCTGGTTCACAAGGTAGATGGTATCAGTGAAATTCAGAGGGCAGAAGGGACTCAGGAAAATGGAACAGGTGTTGAGAAGATGGCAATGCCATGAAAAATCTTCCATGAAACTAAGTCCATTGCATGTCCTCTGCTATTGCTATTGCTAAGTCCTCTGCTATTATTCTTACTGAAAATATCAGCTGCAAAACTGTTTTCATCTTTGTTTTTAGCATTCACCATTAAAATACTAAGTTCTGAAAACCAAATCCCTAACAAGCTGGGTTTTTTTCTACTTTATTAATTTTGCTGTGATCAAGGCTCAGTAAATCCACATTTCTGTAGGTGTTCTATCCTGTTACTCTTCTTCTTAATCCCACTAAAGAAACCCCTCCAAAATAATTTAGCAATCATACTATGAAAGGTTATACAGGGTATCACAATAAATAAATGAAAGATTGAAAATAGGTAAATGAAACTATGGTTTCATATCCAAATACAAAAAACAGTTAAGAGGAATTTAAAAGCTTAGTATATGATACATATCTTGCTGAATTGAAACTGCAAGCCATGAAATTATGTTTTATCTTTAAAAAACTTTCCGTCTATATTCTGCTATGCAAAAAATAATAATTAATAAAAAAGAGCTATATAGATAATTTGTATAGTTCCCATACATACTTCCTCAATGCACTGACTTTGAGCAAACTTGTAAAAAGGAAGAAGAAAGGAAAAGGCAGGGAGAACTTGTTGTCATGCAACATATACCAGTATAAATCTGAGGAAAGCAAAGTCTAAGAGAAAAACAAACAGAAAGACAAAACGCAGTGCAGTGTAAGGAAAAGTACAACAGATCTTATCAGATTTGATAAAGGCATTATAATTTTCTCATCCTTAAAGAGGAAAATCTTCTTGTGAGATCAACACTTGAAAGGTGGCAAGTACAGACAATATATTAAATACCTAAGAGAAATGTAAATAATGAAGCAATATTTTATTTCACCTAGTGTTCCTTTATGTTACAATTAAGGTAGTCTGCAGGCTGGCAAATGCTTGGAATTAGAACTGCTACCTAATGATCACCTATTACTCAGAATTTAATGAGAAGAGCCATATCCTCAATTCTGGCTTGAAACTGAGTAGATTGGCAAGATGGTGTGAAAAAGTAGTGACAGCTGACTAAATATTTATATAGTCTGTTGGCACAGACTGCATAGTCACCTGAGGGAATGTCTTCTTTGGATGACACAAAGGAAACACAAAAAGAGAAGCTTTTATTTACAAATAGGACCACAAACGCAGGGGAAATCCCTCAGTTTATACTCTTTGTTAAACTGCCCAAGGGGCTTTGTCATGGGCATGTGGAAGTTATGATTAGCTACTAAAAAACACAAGCTACTAAAAAACACATCTTGAACAGGACGACACATGTTAAATGAAGTAATTAAAAATACTGTAATGCAGTATTATTATACTTGAGCATCTATGCCTATGGTAAAGATTAAGAGAAAAATCCATCACAGACTAGCAAGAAACAATTCATTAGTCAATCACATCTATCAGGGATGACAGCTGAAGAAAAAGCAACTGTCCCAGTTACCTGCATCATAAGATAGACCAGCAAGCAACAGAATGCTGCAACAGGTGCTTCTAGACCTTGGAGATATTCCATCCCATCGTGAAGGTGAAAGCATGCCAGAAATGTACTATATCGCTGCTTTTCCACGTCAGGTCCTTTGGCAAACCACAGTGTTTTCAAATTAGGTGTTCCACCTACAAAAGAAATCCATTATTTTATCTTGGCAGCAACAAGATAAAACATGCCTACCTCATTACAATCTGAAAGGAAACAACTGATCTGCTCTTGGCACTTGCAACGACAGAATTGAAAATGAAATGTATTTGACAAAACTTGGCATTTGTGGAGAAAAAAAAAAAAAAAAGGCCTGTAATTTAAACAAGTTGTATTGAATACAGGCATGTTTAAGCAGAGTGGGCTGAATTCAATTGTTACAAAGACGCAGACAACTTTGAGACAGCAGGCAAAAAGTCTGCCCACAAGTGTACTCTTTCCTTGGGGGTTCACAGCATTAAATAAGGTTAGGTTCATCATAAAACAGCGATTCAGCAAAAACCTGACAAAAACGACCATACGTTTCTTCTCTCTTTCTCTCTCAGGGGTCCTTGAGGATCCTCACACTGCTTCCCTAATAACCACCTGTTTTAATGAACAACTGGTCACCTATGGCATTTGCTGGCAAATACATCCTACACAAAACACTGTGCTTGTATGGCTCCTCTGCAGTAGGTTTCAGTTTGGGAAGAGAAAACAAGGCTCTCTGGTATTTTGCACTCCCTAGGCTACTGCATAAAACACTGCTGCAAACACACACAGAAGAATTGCCATCAGTTATGTACAACATATCTTCCAGACTTCCTATAGTATCATTCACGGTGGTCTCTAAATCCTTAATATTTATCCCATGTTGCCATCCCCAACTTGTGAACAAATGTTAAATTTGCTCCCCATTTAAATTACATTTAATCCATTATGAAAATAAACACTAATGCACGTGAATTAACAGAACAGCTAACTATTTATGCCTAAGAATCCCAATTAAAGACAGAATCCTCCCATAAAATACTGCTGCTTCTGTAGTTTAATAAAATGAGGTGTGAATTTTAAATGTGGACTAATTAAGCTACATTTGGTAACACCTTTTCCTTTTTTGTGTGACAGGCAGCAGCTGTAGCCCAGTTAGGAACACTTGGTGATAATAAATGGTTAAAGTGACAAGGTGCTGAAATCTACATAGACAATGTTTATTTAGCCAAGAAAGCCCATTAACCAAATGGTACTAATTCTTTGGAGAGGGGGAAACTAGAAGATAGGATTTTCTTTTTTAATCCCCGTGATGGATGCTTCCTTTACTATTTTTAAGTCTAACTCTCCCATCAAAAGTTTTAACCATGTAAAAAACCACCATCATACAACTGTAAGAGATTCAAACATTCTTTTATAGGGAGAGATATATATATTATGAAAAAAATATGAGTTGCTTGATTTTAATTCGAAATACAGGTTAGTGATAACATAAATATTGGCAGTGAGTGGTCCAGTACAGACAGCACAGTAAGACTCAGATTACTGATTTTGATACTGGTAATTACTGCTTTAATAAAAGAAAAGCAGAGACTGATTCCAAGGAGAAAAGTAAACATAACATGCATAAAAGCAGAGCAAAGTCAACTTTTCCTATCAAGGCTAAGCAACTTTAATGTGTGAACCAATTTTTATATTTAGATATTTTTATATTTTTTTATATATATATGAGTTTTTATATATGTAAACTCATATAGTTGTGATGGTTTCTGCTTTCTAGAAGCTTCCCAATCAGCTGCATATGAAAAGATATGCCAAGAGCCAGTTAAAGGAAAGTACTTTTTCCATCTGTACAGCTGTTTCTTTAAATGACTTGCATCCAGGCATATACCTAATAATAGATCTCTTTTTTCAGAATAAAACCATGAACCACATCAATAATCAACATTACATATCTATGTAGAGAGAGCTCAACAAAAAATTCAAGACATCTCTTCTATAAACAGTTTCTTACTCTTTCAGAAACAACATCTACTTGCTCCTGGGAAAAAGAGGTACTGTTGAATTATGAGTTATTTACTCTGGAAAAGAAGACTTAACACAATCTCCTCTTGGAACATACCAACCAAAAGTGTTTTTCTGAAAGGATTTCTTCTACAAGTAATTAAATTTCATGTAATAACTAAGATCAATACATTATATTAACCCTTAAATGAAAGATAAGTAAAACAAATAATTACACTGTTAAATGACTCTCCTCTCAACAAGAGACCTACAGTAGTCCTCAAAAACTGTTCTCTGCTTTAGTTCCCTCATCATACACTTTACAGCAATTAGAAAATCGCTGAGAGAAATTTACTTTACTAAATTAACCTAAAAAAAACCCCAAACTAAGCACCAAAAGGGAAACAGAATTAAACATACTAGATATTTATAATTGATACACCCTTACTGTAAAGATCAATCATGAGAAAATTATCCTTCCTACTGGGGTTGTAGAAACCACACGTTCCTATGAATTACGGAGAGAACCTCAAACACTGCATATGCTTATGGTCATTCTCAACATGCATAAAACTGTAAACTGTGTTCAGTACTATGTAAACTGTAGTCCTTGGGAACTCCAAGAAGAGCAGCATCACAAAAGCCTCCATTGGAAATCAAGAGATATTATTTGCCTAAAAACAAAAACGGATAACCAGCAAGTTAAAAGAAAAAAACATTTATTTTTTTTCCGCATTTTCCTTTTTACTCACATTTAGAGACACTGTCATATAGAAAGCATCATGATAACATGAGCACTTCAACGGAATACATAAATATTTCATTTGTTTGAGCCTCAATTACTGATTTATGAATATGCAATGCATGCAAAAGTTGTGGAATGCATTAATACTAGGATATTATTGAACTCAAGGCTTATACAAAGGGGATCCTCACATGTATACCAACTTATGTCATCATTGTGTACATAGATATAAAAGTATAATACCAGCTATTTATGCGTAGTTAAAATAATGACTATTGAAATTCCATTTTATAACACCAGGAACAGAACTTTTATATTTCATTGCTTTACAAACTCATGTAAATACTGAGCAATAAAAATAAGTTTATAAAAATGTACTTGCTAGGAACACTGAACCTTAACTTGTTAACAGTTGTGGCTAGTTTTAAAGATGCCATAAACTCAAATGCCAATTAAATCTGACCTTTAAAGAAGTATTTCAGAAACTGCATTTTGAACATAAGCATATTCATGACATATTCCTGTAAGATGCAATGATTAAAACAGTGAATGTACATCCAAAGTCCTGTGGTATGAAGCTACAACATCCTACACATTTTCAGAAAAAAAATGAAAACCAGAATTCACACAATTCCAGTAAATACTTTACTTTAAAACTTCTTCTGTTCCATATAAACTGCACATGTAACAAACAGATCTGCTATGTTCACAACATATGGATGTTGAACAGTATTTTCTTGGCTCATAGGCCTTCTAACAAATTTCACTTCTCAGAGACATTTTTATCATTTAAGTGCTGCTCTGTCAATGTGTGGGAAGCATAACAATCACATTCATTCAACTGAAAAGAAACATTCTGGAAGAGAAGAACAGAGAGAAGGCAAGCAAGCATAGATGCCAATTCAGAAGACTGTCTCTCCAGAAAAATAATATATACATAATACACACTGTATTTTAAATATATTTTATTATCTTACAGCCTTTAGGATTCGATATTTCGTTTTTAAGAAAAGCTAACATTGAATCTATTGCCCACAAGCTTTTCAGATGGAAGACAGTTCTGCTGGTTTATACACACACACACACACACAAACACACACGCACACACACACACACAAAATCAGTGGGAATTCTACTTTTCTGGCTTTTTTTTTTTACATCAATGCAAAATATAAGATAGTTATGGTTATGTGCACTGCAGTTTGAAGTTCAGATCAAATATTCTTTCTTCAGACTTTTAAATCTAAATCAAATTGAATAGTCAGGATTTCCCATGTATTCTCAGCACATTTGTGAAGTAGTTGCAACGATGAGGTTATATTTTCCCCAAAAGATAAAGCAGAGCCTTCCCAGATTAATTGCACCTGTGACTTTTTAAATAGTTTCTGGTAAGGTTTTTCCTCTTTTTGAGTAACCTGATCTTGATTGACAGCTTTGAACTCTAACTTCCTATAACAACTTCTTTAAATTTAGCTCTTAATATGATCCCTGTCTGAAAAATCTGATGTGCTGTTGAGAACCTTATTTGGTGAACTAGAAAGTCCTGCTGTGGAAAATAAAAGATGCATGAGTGAATGTAAGGCATACTAATATGGACTGTAAAAATTTTAGAAAAATATTTGTGCACTGAAGGAATGACAACAGAGCACTAAAAATAAACACTACAAGTCCTCCTCCCCTTTTTTAATAGTCTGCTTGAATAGCCTTTCATTGCAGAGTAAGTAAAGATTATGGCTGAGAAGATGCTGTTTTTATAAACTCTTCTTATGTGGTTGCTATAAACAAACACGCAGAGTGATTTTAAATCCTGTTTATTGTCAACATGAGGGTGGGTTCTATGTGTATCATGTTTGCAGAGCAGTACAAAGTACATAAGACTAAGTGGATTCCTCTCCAGCAAGGGAGGAAGGTACTATACTATCTGGGAAGGAAAAATTCACAACAAATAAAATATATTTGCTACGTAAACTGAAATGCAGCTACTTAGGCATGTTTATACTATGTTGGGTTTTGCTTGCTTGTTTTACAAATGCATGTTACCAGACCACTGTATGCTGAAATAACACAGTTGAAAAGCACAGACCAATTAATTTTTACCCTGCATATTCATATCCATTTGGAAAATTTCACAGCAATTTCATGCTATCATCAAGTCAATTAGATAATCACTCTCTTCATATTGTATCAGGGTACTGGACAGGGAAACTACTGTATATCAAATGAAACCTTGTTTGTACTTTGTCTACATAACTCATTTCTTTCCAGTTTCTTTCAAAAGGATTTTGAAAAGGCTGATAGCTAAAGATCAATTGGTTTTCCTTAAGCCTTGAATTTGAAGACTCTTATTAAATATACAAGTTTCAAATATGAAGATAAATGTACAATCTTAGGGTACCTTAAAAAAAAATTTACTAGAATTCTAGAAAATGAAAACTAAGTAGGTTCTAAAGCAATCCCTAACAAAAACAAACAAACAAAAACCCCAAAAACACCACACCAAAACACAACCCCCTCCCCCCCCCCAAAAAAAAACAAACAACAAACCCACCTTCTTTTAAACCTGGATTTAGACTAGATCAGAATAAGAACTGCTACAGAAAGATTTGGATAATGAAGAAAGAAGCATTGGTAATTACTTTCAAAAAGTTAATAGCTAATATTTTTTCTTAACATCAATGGTATTGTGTATCAATGGAATTAATTAAATTCATATGAAAGACTAAAAACCTCTGAGCTCCTGATCCACATAAAAGCAGATGACCAGAGAGTACTGCAACAGTAGAGGTAGAGGGGTTATGACTACAACAGCATGATCAAATGAACAATTAAGACAATTTTCTTTCTGAAATAACAAAATTGATACAGTATTGTTTACTTCCTGTCTTAAATTTGCATTGCATGATACAATTTGGTGACGTATACAGTGCCAAATCTTTTCACTAATGTGTAAGATACTTCCTTGTAAACGCAACACATTCCATTAATTTCATTAAGAGTGTTCATGCATCCTTTACCAAAGGAAAGAAGGTAAAAGACACACAAAACACTTGATGCTTAAGACAGTAGAAACAGCTTCAGTAGCCTAGTTACATTTTTATTGAAAGCTGGATTCTCCTTCTGGGTTGTCACAGGTGATCTAAAAATGACCCTTTTTATCTTCTCTGCCAGTCTTCTTAACACATTCTCTCAAGCAGCTTAACAGAAGAATTTTCATATGGCCCCACATACCACTTATCCCAGCGTCAAAGCAGTATTGAGAACCTCTAAGAAATTGTTTGCATTTTAGAACTGATGTCTGAATTAGCACTGGATTTGACGGGACACAGTAATAACATGTAGGTCAAAGCTGAATCCTGTTACAATTACACAGGGTAATTAAAAGCAATTACAGGCATGCAGCATTTCTACTTTAGCTCCTTGTTCTTCACAGATGTTTTGGATTCCGTATCAAACATGTGATGATGGATTGCCTAACCTTATTGTAGTGATGGCATTATTTCAGTTCAGATTTAAACACATTTTATTTTACCTGGAATAGGTTGTACAGGCTGTATGAGCTCTGGCTGTTTGAGAGGATTTCCAAAAAAGACAAACCACTCTTTCACGAAAGAATAGGCTCCACCTAAAAAGACAGAATTGGATCAGTAAGTCAAATGCAAGTATTGACACTAGTGTAAAAGTCGGAAGCAGTAGTGATAAGGATTCGAAAGTAATGGAAGACATTTGAAATTATTTGCTCAGCTTAAAAAACAAAAAAAAATAGTTTTAGCATCTTTGCAACAAATGATCAGAACAAATGAAGCAACTTTGAATTATGCACTATAAACATGAGTTTGGAGTTGGGAACTGTAGCCATAAATGTAAGTACTAATCTGTGGAAAACATTCTAAAACAGCTTACAGCCAATTTTAGGCCTACCCATTTCAAGACAGTTCAGGAAGCTATGGAGGCATCTGACATAGCTTAGGGACCTATGTGAGCTGTCTCAGTCTCTCAGGGCTGTCACACTGCCACATATTGCAGTCAGTCCTTAATATGATTCTCCTCCCAACTTGCCCTGACGTTTCCTGAGTCAGGGTTTAAGACAAAATCTTTATAAGGCCTTGATGGCTATTTGAAATCTGACAGCAATGGAGTCATCCCACAATCAGAGGCAGAGCTTTTACAGCTCATTGTTCCAGACCTTTTATCTAGTATAAAGGGATCGTTTATGCATAATAGCTCAAGTGGTTTCCTACCCCCTAACTTCAACTCTACCCCACCCCCCAGTAAAGAGTAGGGAGCCTTTTAAATTAAAAATTTCACTGCTTGAGTTGTGCATCTAACTATTTGATGCTTAGGGAAGAAAAAAATAAAAAAGGAAAGAAAATATCCTCAGAAAAAACTAAAACATTTAAGAATTTTTGAAATGCAACCTACCTAATTTCCAGTAGTCAGCTCATAATCATTCCAATGCAAGTCACCCTTAAAAAACCCTAGAATAATTATCGTTGCTATGAATGGTGCTTCTGCATTCTGTACAGATACTGCTTATGGTAACCTTGTTACAGTGCCCTAAATTTCCACTCTCTGTAGTCTGGTAAACAGTATGAAGCAGACAGATTTAGCTAGTCCTGGGCACTTGGAGTAGTGTTTTCAAATCTTTTCCAGGCAAATCTTAAAGCTTTCCCACCCTAGTCACTTTCCAGATTCACAGAGTTGTATCTAATTCCTTCCAGGTCTTGCCCAGTGCTGAGGGCACTCTTTACAATTTCTGCCTTTTATCATCAATTCCAACCACCCTGCACTTTATTGCACAACTATTTCTGATGCCACATTATGAACCCTAATGAAAAACTTCACCTAGCTTAAAATAAACCAAACCTCTCCAACACTCTCCTTCCTTTCCCTCCACCACCCAAAAAGTTCAGTCACGTTAATTTCCTGATCTCATTCATAGCTCAACACCTCAAATGACTGTTGGCATGAATGAATAAACAGAAATGCCTCAGATGGAGTTGTAGTGTAAGGGATAAAAGAGGCAGAGGAGAAGAACACAACAAAATCTGGTTTACAGCCCTGCTTCTTCTTCCCTCCCCATTGACCTGCAGCACAAACTCCCAATAAAGGTGAGGGCTGAAGAACCAACTGCTGGACTCTAAGGGACAGCATTACACCTGGCTTGCCATGCTTCACTGTTCAAAAACTGATGACATTAAGAATAAAATGAAAAACGCTTGCACTGAGGAAAAAAAAAAAAGCCTTCAATGGCACATTTCGGTAGCTGAATAGTCTCACATCTTGAATATAAATCATTGCCTATGATAATGCCATTTCATTAAAAAAACCAACCAAACCTCCAATTTAATACCCTGAAGTCACTTTCAGAAACATTTTGATATTTTAGCATTCTGGTTTAAGATTTATCATGTAAATTATTCTGCTTTATTCAATCTATTCAGCTCACTCAGCCTCTCAAATTTTAGCCTGGCTTCTTACAGAAGCAAACCTAATACAATTAGGACATCTGTCTTATAATTAATTCATGGATGCACTGCTCTGTTTCAACTAAGCCTGACAGAGGAGAAGAGATTTCAAATGTACTAAAATCCTAAACATGTTGTGAAACTGGTGACTCAGCTGTCAGAGATCCTGTTAGAACAGCAACTGAAAGAAAAATAGGAAAGTCAAGTCACCTGTTGAATCCAAATGCACTGAATGTATGGCAAATCAATATACAAGCAGTTATAGAGCTGAGTAAAAAGGTAGGTGGCATTAGGGGAGAGCAGAAGGCAATAGGGAACATACTTAGAAACACCATATATTGCTGGAGGGATTTGTCAAAGACATGGGGATGCTAGGAAGATGATGCTAGGAAGATGCTAGGAAGATGCTAGGAAGATGATGCTAGGAAGATGATGCTAGGAAGATGATGCTAGGAAGATGATGCTAGGAAGATGATGCTAGGAAGATGATGCTAGGAAGATGATGCTAGGAAGATGATGCTAGGAAGATGATGCTAGGAAGAAGAACTGGCTAGGGGAAGCTGGCATGGAGAGCCACTCTTTGTAAGTTCCACAACTCAGAACAACTTATCAAAATTTCTCTCAATTCCAAATTCCTACAGCTATTTTTACATCACCATTTAGCTCAAGCACAATACAGAAGTCAGCAGGAAACCTCTAGTTTTGCTCTTTTAATGTATGTGAATATTGGTACAGGACATAACACCCCATCAGCAGAGTGCTTTTCACTATTACAGTCCATTAGTAACAAAAGTACATTACTGTTCACGTAAGTAGCCAATTAAATATAGTGGAAAGCAAGGTCCTGCAAACTGACAGCACATTAACATACCAAGAACAAAACACAGACACAACTACTAAATGCCAACCCTCCCTGCATGGAAATATCTCTGGGGAAAAAAAAAAAAAAAAAAAAAAAAAAACCTCAACAATTTTTCAAACTTCTTTTCCTACAATGCACATACGGAGTTATCACCAGTGAAATTCAAAAACCATCAGTTCCTTTCTTTAAATAGATTCTAAACTAACTACCTGTGGAAGCTGCAAATTTCAACCATGTGAAGAAATCCAGACACGGGAAGTTGGAAATACTGTTATGTGTGCTCCTCTACACCTGAAACCCTCCTAAGTCACTGGTGGTGACTGGCAAAAATTCTGCTAATGGACTGGTTTTGACAGTGTCCAAGTGAGGATCAGTGTGGCCTGCTAACATTAAACCTGGGAGTGATGACAGAACTTCCAGGAGCTGGCCATGAGAAGCCAATGGCGGCATGAGGGGCATTACATAACCTCCTGATTGGCACCACTCATGCAGGCGCAGGTATTTCTTCCATGGACTGCGATAGTGCCTAAACCTGCTGGCTTTCTTCTGAATTTTTCGTACACAAAACAGCAAGCCTGGCTGGACTATCAAGGTGCATTATTTACTGTTATTTTCCCGTCCTTCTTGAACTTTTCTAATAGTACTATTTTTCTAGGAAAGATGCTAAAAGTTGACAATTTATATATCACTATATGCAATATTCCACATAATGATCAGAAATGACTCAATTCATTTTGAAGATACTTTTAAAATTACACAGGCAACAAATACCATGTTATCAGGATCACCATCAACCCCTTATTTATTTTTGTAGGATCAAAAATAAAGCTGTGATTCTAGCATTTCCACGAGTAAAGGTATGCACATGCTTAGCATATACCAAACTACACTAAAGGCATAGTTTCACAAGCAATTCTTTCAGCAGCACTGCTACCTTTTATAGGTGACTTGACACTGATTTGCTCACTCCCACTCCCTGCCATTCCCTTGGGCTGTTTCACCACAGCTGTTTGTGGCTACACAGAGTCAGACGGGGCAACAGAAGCATGTTAGTTACCTGACTGCAAGAAAGGGAGAGAAGAGACAGAGGAGAGGAACTATTTTTAGTTCTCAAACTGGGCTATCACATAGCTGCACAAACAGCTGCACCAGCACAACTGAGAGGTTGCATGGAGACTGAAGTGTCTGTGCAAAAGACTTACCTAAACTGGCACTGACAGCAGTGGCACTGACAGCAATAGAAATGCGTATCAAGCTATGGCTCCAGGCAATGTGGTTTGATCTAGATGGGTGATTTCAAAGGATATGACAACAACCATCTCCTGTGGATTTTTGGGTTTCTTAGGCACTCTCAACCTAGACATTCAAAACCAATGGTTTCTTGTTTCAGGACAGAGGGAACAGTTTACATTACTTTTAGCCTGTTCTTACTAAAACTGTAACTGCTGCTTTTACTATCTTGCTTTGCTATCCCTATTCAACAGTACTCAACAGTAAATAAGCAGACTTGCAAACTGAAAGGAAGTCATTTTCCAGCACTGCAATCTTGTAATTGAGGAATCTTAAGGAATAAAAATGAGGATCACTAACACATCTCCACTGCAAACTAGAACACTGTATAGAGTTAGCCAAGATAGCTTCAAATGATCTATGTTAGCAACTCTATCACAATGGCAGCAGACTCCACGCGCACTAATTTAATTGGCTGACTCCTTCCAACAAGCTTCTTTTAATGCTAATCCAAAGTATTTTTACATTATACTACAACCTACATACAGTGTAAATTATTTCTTCCCCTCCTACCCCTCATTGAATTACAAAAGTCAACTTAATCTCATCTAAGGGAAACTGGCAAAGGATTCTACTTACTTTAAGAACAAAAATTCCATGTAGGTCCATCAGCAAGTTCATAAATAAAAAATGATTACATTTACTTATGAATTCTCACACAGGCTCTGATTAATGACATACACACTTGACTTAGAAACAACTATACACTGGAACAGAAAAACAACCCATGAACTCCTAGGAACTGATGTCGTTAAAACAGTTAGAGGTAAATACATGCACTAAAAATGCAAATTTAATAGGAGTGCCCATGCAGACACACTCTACCTACCTTTTGGGAAGGGTTAAGGACTGAGGGTGCACAAGTATGATTTACTTTAGAAAATTAACTCTGGAATTTGAAGCAAACTGAGAACAAATAATACATGTTAACTGTGGTTTTATTCTAAAATCACTTTCATAAAAGAAGACCTCTTTCCCATTCAAATTTCTTTTCAACAAGATTATAAATTAATGTTTCAGTATTTCAATTCTAATCTTCTTTATCTGAGTACTACAAACACTATAACATAAATGCAAATCTGCCTACTACCCTGCCATCTCACAGCAACGATTGTTAATTGGCAGTTTTGGTGTGGATGTTTCTGAAAGCATCAATGAATATCCTACTACTTAGAAGAATAAATAAAACCCAACCAAGTTATAATTATCTACAAAATTTAGAGGCAGTAGGCCGAAAAATGAGAAATGACAGATGTGCATGATTACTGCTGCGATTTCTGTTACTCTCTCCAAATGGCTATCATAGAATCATAGAATGGTTTGGCTTGGAAGGGACCTTAAAGCTCATCTAATTCCAACCCCCCTGTCATGGGCAGGGATACTTCCCACAAGACCAAGTTGCTCAAAGACCCATGCAGCCTGGCCTTGACACTGCCAGGAATGGGACATTCACAACTTCTCTGGGCAACCTGCGCCAATGTCTCACCACTGTCATGGTGAAGAATTTCACCCTAGTATTTAATCTAAATCTACTTTCATTCAGATTAAAGCCATTCCCCTTGTCCTATTACTACAGGCCTTTATACAAAGCTCCTCTCCAGCTCTCTTGTAGGCCTCCTTTAAGTACTGGAAGCTGCTCATGTTGAGCTTCTCATCTACCAAGATCCCTACTATGTAAACTCTGATTCAGTATTTCCTATTGTTTGGGTTTGGTGTTTTTTTTTCCTATTATGGAAAAACTTCAACCTCTAGCTGCTGAAGCAAGCCAGGTATTTAATTACCTTTCTGTGGCTTTCTAAGCACATAGTTTGAATATCAGGTTTGATGGCAGTGCACTTTCATCAATAAAATGTAAAGTGACTACCAAGAAGAAACAACATATTCAAAAGAATAAAAGTTCAGTGCATTTTTAATTTTCAACTCACTGCCTAAAAGACACTGTAAAGATAACATTTAACTAATGGGAGTCTTAAGAACATAAAATTTCTTCAAGATGTGAATAAAGGTTTCTCTGTCTTAAAGCTGAAGAATGGAAGCACACATATACACACAACTGCTACAAAACTGCTACTTATACCACTGGATAAAGAAACCGTATTTTCTTGTACTTTGATAAAAGAATTAATAATCACTGGCCTGACTACTTGCATTAGTGTTACTACAGTAACTATATTTGACTATCCACTGTTCTTAAAATTGCAGATTTAAAATCAACAGAAGGTAAGACTCTATCAGTGCATTACTGTTTTGCAGAAGTGCAAACAACTCACTAATTCATCAGGAGCTACACTTATCAATACAACATAAGGTTTCACATTCTCTCAAACTTTTAAAATCTTCTAAATGTCACTGTTCTGCTCAATCTGTTGCTCATTAACAACACTGACAGCTTCCCATTTAACAAGCAAAAAAAACCCAATTTAAAAAAAATAATTCCTTAAAATCACTGAAATTGAACAGCATTTAGAAAACCTGCAATCTCATTGTCACATTTTCTCTTTATTCCTTAAGAATAAGTGCATTCAGCTGCCCACAGTTTTTATCCTAAATTCCATGTTGATGTAGCCACTGAAAAAATAAACTCAAGATTTCATATTTCAAAACTGAAAGTATACTTGAATAGTGGTATAAGTAGTTTAATCTTTACCTTCTCTAGATTCCAACAAGATAGAATAAATATGCTGACGAGCAGGGCGGTAGATAAGTGCCTGTCCAGGAATTTCTGTATCAGATTCATCTTCCAAAGAGTTGCTGCATTCAATCTCTCCCTTACTCAGGATATTGAAGATCGTGTAATTTTCAGACTGGACATGCTGTTCTTTAGCTAACTGTTCAAAGAAAGAAGGAGGCATTATCTCCAAAATTAAAGAGGATAAAAAACTAACAAAATGTATTCACTATTCAAGGAAACAGTACTTTTTCTAGCAGTGTAAATGGAGCGAATGGCCAGGGTTGGAACAAGTGCTTTGTGAGGTAACACCAGTATAGTATACTTTCAGACATCTACCTTTCTGGGGACAGGAATCCCCAGGAGAACCATCATTGCCTTTCTTAGGCCCTCCCTGAATTCTTAAAACTTGGGGGAGTTAATGACATTTTTTTAAAGAGTAATTATTCTTAAAATGAATTCTGAATTCAGACACAGAGAAATGAGCTGCCCTCCTTTAGTCATCTGAAAATGTATGTTCCCTCTTTAAATAGCGACTGAAGGCACAACAAACTTTTATTTGTCACCCAAACTTATTGCAAGATGAAATACGTAAGACAACTCCATTTATTTCCTGAGCTGACTTTGCATAGTATACATTGTGGTGAAATTAGTATGCTTACCTTCACCACACTTTTACTTTGCAATAGCTTTTCCCCATGAAAAGAAATACAATCTACTCTAGTGAGGAACACCAGGCCTGCAGGCTGTTGCTGAAAAGCAGAATTGTAGCATCACCCAGGCTGCATATTAACCATGCACCGCATGCAGATACATCTGGCTACAGCAGCTGGCTACAGCCTCAGGGACCGCTGGTCTGAAGCGGCACTGGCGCAGAAGCAACAATGCTACTCTCAGCACAGAATTTCAACCAAGAACACTTGTAACTTGGACTGGCCAAGCGCAGAGCCAGACTTGCTATTTCACAACCTCAGACCAAAACCATGGGAGTGTTCAAACAGTTGAGCTGAGCCAATTTTTTCCATGGAGTACCACTAATAAATTCTCCAGGACCCGTGCTATATGGTGAGCAGGCACAGAAGTTTCTCTGCTCTCCATTCCCAGTATGTGTCACCTTATTTGAATTATTTGGGTTGTGCCATCCATACAGCTATGCCACTAGAAATTACCAGACCACTGGCCAGCTCAAAATTCACCATTTCTGCAGAAATCCAATATCCGCAAACCTGAGAACCCAGCAGGTCAAAGCTGCAGTCGATTAATGGGTCATTACTGATCAAAACTTATTCTATTGAAATGTCATACTTTCAGAAGAAATTCTCACATAAAATGAATTGTAGGCTTCCGTACATAATGCCAATCAACAAAACTTTTTTTTATAGTAATAAATTAATGGTTGCTGTGGAATAAATACTTCTTCATTCTTACTATATGTAAACAATATAATCCCTCAAATCTACTTTTGTATAAACCAAAAACCAAATAGTTAAGTATTTCTAAGCATCATTTGAAGGAAGCATTGAACCATTTCATATAAACCATGAGATGTTTTTATCATCATCTGAAAACACAAGTTTGTCAATAATTTACACATCCTTAGGTAGTGAAAAAATACAAGCTGATTTCAGAAGAACTGCTGTATTCAATCCTGTATCTTGAAAAATATTTCTGATTTACACCTACAGTCAGGCGGAAAGTTATATTCTTTTCAGGGAGAAGCAGGAGTGTGTCTTCAAAGTTGGAACTGAGCTGTGTATGTCATTTACATGCAGCTCAGATTATGTGCAAGGTAAGCAGAACTACATATGGTTTTCAAAATATGCAGCAAAGCACACCCATTACACATACAATATTTAACCACCTGTAACAAAACCAAACGACAAGTTAACATGCTTACAACTCTGCCTGCAATTTCCCTGGCCAAAGGATTGGCTTAACATAGGAATTATGCATTCTATGAGGCATTCTTCAGTGGAGTTTCTAAACATTATTATTTTATTACAGCAGTAGCTCAGCATGACACTAGAGAACTGTAGTCTTCAAATGAAAGATCAAGGCTAGAAATAATGACCACTTGTCATAAAGACCGCATGGCTCATTTTCTTAAGGAGTAAGGATATTACCACTATTGTTCTAGCCACAATCCAACCTAGATAATTACATTCTGGCCAAATTTTCCTTGCACTTCAATTGTAAACAGTATTTTTCAACACTTTATTAAGATGCAGGGCTGTTGCTTGGGTTTGGTTTTTTTTTTAATAACATCTTTATTTAACGATTTCAGTTGAAAGTGACATGTATTGTGCCTATGTGTGGCTAATAAAAACACCCAAATCTATCTGCAGCTTAGCTGAAATGAGCATTGCATAAGTTACAATGCAGTTTTAAAATATTTTTAGAAAAAAAATTGTAAATTTTAAGATTAGAGTAATATGAGAAAACAGAAAAACTAATTTTAAAGAAAATATTCAACATAACAGACAGAAAAACAAGGTGCTCTATTTGAAGTCTGTAGGGACCTAACAAAACAGGGAGCAACAGGTGACTAATATAGGATCTAAAATACACCAGAGCATCTCTGCCCATATGTGAAGCCATTAGTGAAACTTGATAGTGCATCTCTGTCCTTCTAGAATTAACAAGCCCCTCCAAGTGCTTTTGGCTCCTTCAGGGACAATAAATCTGAATGATCATTAACCTGATCCAAAAATCACAAAATACAGATTTATAGGAAGTCTCCTCATCTCCTCCACAAGAACAATTTCAACTTCTGCATTCTTAGCAGAGCTCCCTTTGGTATTTTGACTGCATGTACCAGGTACAGCCAAGCAGACCACTAAACAGCTGTAGCTGACTTGTGGATGCTCAAAGAATAACTGTATCATTACATTGTGCAATACATGGGAAGTACTCCCTATGCTCATCTATAGGCCTATACAGAAGCTGCTCCCCATTATTTGAACTGCTTGATGCTTCAAAAAGAGAGGAATCATCTGCTTTCATGGTGATGCATGTAACAGTCCTAACCATGGCTATACTTAACAGACAATAGATTTTGCTCAAGCAAATTTCAATCAATAGGTTCGGTGTACTCAATACTGACGTCCACTAAATAGTCATGGCATCAAGTGACCATGAAGCTTTAAAAAACAAGGTACCTGAAAGACTTCATCTTGACACATGGCTGTTTCTTGTTGAAGGGAAAACATTTGGCAACTTGTTACTTTGGGAGGAATCCATGGAGACTGCTGCCCAGGTAAAAGATAGCACTCCACTCCTCTGTAAAGCAATGTCTTGTCTGATCCCAGAGGCAGAATGTCTTCCAAGTGTTTCAGGCTGCTGTATGACTGTGGAACTTTTGAGATGTAATTTGCTACAGCAAAAAATATGTTTGTTCTTCTGTTGTAGCTGTTATTCTTATGGGGACTGCTGACCAAACATTTATGCCAAAAGCCTTCCAACAAGTTTTCTGGAACAACATCATTGCCAAGCAAGCAAGCAAAGAGAGGGAGGTGTGTCAAACTAAGACCCAATGCATGACAAAGATCTTCTCGAGAGTACATAACAGTGACCAGCCTGTCCAAACGGAGCTTCCCAATGGAAAAGTAGGGGCACGTATTATAGATGAGGTAGTCACTATCTTGCCCAAGAATTCCTATGCAGTTATGTTGCAAACCATATACAGCCACCTCAAAGTCTGCCTCCTGCAATGTACATACTGTTTCTTGACCAAGTGACTTCAGGGCAAAACGTGTAAAAGTAGGCAAAGCTGAAGGCATCACAAACATTTCTCGCCCTGGTTGTTTTCTGTGAGTCTTGATAAACTGAAATACTCTGGCTATCTCCTTGTTATTCTGCAACCTCCGTTTGATCCACTCATCTCTCTTTTTTGATTCTACCACTCCGTCAAAGAAAAACACCAACTTGATACCAGCTCCCATGAAAACTTTAATAAAATCCTCTAAAACAGCAAGGAACTCCCGCCACTGGCCACCACACACCCAGGATTCTGGTGTGTACCAGTATCTAACACAACTCATGGCATCTACTACGATAACAGGCGGAGAATCAGGATGATCGATGCAATGTTTTTGTGCCATTTCTCTCAGATCTACAGTCCTGCATGCATCAGGGCAAACTCTCTCCACAAATCCCTGCAAACCTTTAATGCCCATGGCTGATATCTGAAACTCACAGCAGTCTGAAAGAAGAAGAAAAACAATATTCTAAATGCAATACTGAGAAACATAACAGAATTATACAATAACAAACAAAAACATACAGCAAAACAAAACACAAGGCAAACAAACAAAAAATAACAACCAAACAGCACAGAAACAGAACTGTTACTTTTCTGCTTTTGCTGATAGTTTGCTTTGTTGCCCTGGCCTTTAAACAGTTTGAACCAGTTTTCTTCCAATCAACAAACTGGATGTAAGTGCCCATTCACTTTGCCTTCCAATTCTGTTTTTCTATCACTGAAGACTATAAATATCTAAAGGTTTTCTTACGTACAACTCAAATTCAGATTAATAGAAAAAAAATAGAAATTCAGAAATATAGAAACTGCTAGAAAACCAAGTACAGACATAATTAAAAGCTATATAACAACTTACCTGAGTGTACAACACAGGAATTAACGGCTTGATTTTCACACTAAATAGGATACAAATGTCTTTAACTGAAGTCAGTGGGAAAATACTAGTAGCTTTGGTAATCAGTCTTGTGCCTTGATTATGCAAATGGCTCAGTTACCATCTGTGTTTATAGACAGTAGTCCACTGATATGGCACTAGTTGCAATACCTCTGCTTCTGCAATGGTTTTAGTAGTATCAGTTCTGCTTCAAATCAGAAACTCAATCCATTGTACCATTCTGTCATTTGAAGACATAATTTTCAAGACCTGTTTAAAGAATTAGACGTTTACCTATATTTTGTGAATCTACAAATCTGGTTATTATTAATAATAAAATTAATAGGTTAATATATTAAATGGGATTTCTAACACACACAGCATTTTGAACCAATCTATTTTAAAAGACATGCATATAAACATTAGCTAGACATTAAACAATTACAAATGGAATAAGCTTATTTTCAGTTTGGGAAATATCAAAAGACTGACGAAGAGAGTCTCTGAATTCTGTGGTAAAACTTAATAGTGTACCAAATGAACCAATTTATGGGTTCTGTAGAGCAAGTTGTGGGATAAAATGAAAATGTTGATGACCTCCATTTTTATTTCTAGAAATCACAACACAAGTTTGGCACAACCTCCACCACAGATGTGCTCCTCCCTTTACCACAGCATCAGTCTCCTCTACCACAGCACTATTTTATTTTACAGGTCCTTCCAATGAAAAATAGAAGTAACAAGCTCCATCAAGCTTTGTTTTCTTCTTTATTCTCAGAAAATATTTTGGGCTTATTTTGATTTTATTCAAAAGTCAAATCCTTTTCTCAGCTAAACAGTGAAGGATTTCACTACGTTTTAATTAAACAGGTCAGATTTTTCCCGGTTTTCACACTATGAATTTCTGACATTTGAAGAACAGGTTGTCTCCAGAGTGTTACATTACAAGATACACACTTACGGTTTTCAGAAAGCGAAAAAAAAGGAAGCTGAATTCACAAAAACATTGTGAACAGATAGCTTTTAAAGGTATTCCTGAGCCTGCAGAGGTTAAACAACTAATAATCTCCAGATAGTTTTTGAATACCATCGTCTTTAATCACAGGATCATAGAGCAGTTTGAGTTGGAAGGGACCTTTTAAAGGTTATCTGGTTCAACCCCCAATGCAATGAGCAAGGACACCTTCAACCAGATCATGTTGCTCAGAGCCCTGTGCAGCCTCACCTCGAATGTTTCCAAGGCTGTGACATCTACCGGCAATGCAGGCAACCTGTTTCAGTGCTTCACCACCCTCATCATAAAAAAAATGCCTTCCTTATGCAGTGTAATACGAAATAAATACAAAATAAAGCTGAGAGTGTACAGCAGACCTCACTGTTACAAAATCAGAATTAAACAGGTACGAATGCACTTCATAGCTTCACATGGATACAACCTAGGACCCTGCTCTCTCTACAATGTTACTTTCAGTGTTACCTGGGTGTCCTTAAGGCTCCAGACACTTGCTTTTCCAGGAAAGCTGCACCTCTAACTCAAAACTGGTAGGCTATTGGTTCTTACTTTTCATGGAGACCTAGCAGTGGGTATGAAGGCCATCATCTTTCAGACATTAACACATGCTGTCAGATGAAATGATCAGACGCCATGTCTGAGCAAACTTTAGTTATGATTCTGCCCATAGCGGCAACATGACTCTAGCAATAAGTGTGGTAAACAACTACCAGCTGTAAGTTACTATACAGTTACCTACCATACTGTAATAAGTGGAAACAAACATTTTTCCACGTCCTCACACATGTATTTGAAGCAGTCCTCTTGCCTAACAATTTAAACAAGTTTATAGATACAGTTTATCAGGAAAAAAAAAACAATCCATTTTAGTTTAGTCAATAGCAAGTTCACATCCAAACAATAAGCAAGCACCTTGGCCACTACTTGCGTTTTAATATTACTATCAAACACATTGAAAGCATAAGAGTGGGGAAGGGGGGTGTATTTTCTCCATGAACTGAAATAACCAAAAACATTCCCTCTCATTCCCAGTTTTATACAGACACAAAACTTTGGAGAGATGACCCCTACCTCATGATACCCTTAGCTTTCACTTTGTCAGCAACCAACCATCACAACACAAAGTTTATTACACCCATGGGAACACACAGTACTGCGAAGGGCTGTTAGCAGCAACGTTCACAGTAACAGTTTCAGCCCTCACAACAGCCCACAGCACAAGGGACGAGGAGCAAAGCCCTCTCCTCTGACACACAGCCAGGCCCGCGGTCCCGCTGCCTTGAAGGGCCGGAGCCTGCGGTCCCGGGCAGCCTCACAGGCGTGGGCCGAGGCCTGCACCCCGCGAGGCCATGCAGCACCCGGGCCACGCTACGAGCGAGAACCAGGGCTCCAGTGACCCTCATCACCCACAGACAGCCCCAGCTCCCACCCGCTTCCCCCGGGCCCGCCCTGCGTGCCCATGAAGCAGCCGCCTGCCCCTCCGAACAGCACCCCGACACTGACCCGAGCCTGCGCACCGGCTTCCCGCGGGGTGGGGCTACGCATGCGCTTGGCGGCAGGGCTCTGAGGTGCTTGAGGCGGCAGGGCTGTAGGTGGTGTTACAGTTGTGCTGGTAGCCGTTCCGCGGCCTTTCCCAGTCCCAGCCACCCCCGTGCAGCGGGTCCCTCCACATGGCAGCGACGCGGGGCCACGGTGGCCGGGATGGTTTGAGCCCCGCCCGCGACCCGGTGTCCCTCGGCTTTGTATGGCCACAATAGGGCCGGAGGGACCGTTGTACCGAGCATGTCGGGACCGGGCGGGAGACACACGGGGGGAGATGAAAGAGTCGCGCACCGACACTGCGAGCCACCGAGTCGTCCAGCGGAGGTTTATGTGGCCCCGTGGCGCTGGCATCGGGTAGACAAAGCTGCCCCGGCAGCCGGGGCCTTGGCTTGGCTTTGCTCGGCCCCCGCCGGCGGAGGGGCGCCCCGTTTCCCCCGGGCACTGGCCTGGCTGCAGGCATGCGGGGAGCACGACCCGCTTCCACCCCGCCAGCAACAGGTGGGGAGACCTGAATAACTCCACATCTTCTCGGGGGGAAGAGGGACACAGGGGAGTCGGTGGGGGATTAGAAGTTATTGCCGGTGAAAAATTAAACAGAGCAGTACTCTGGGGAGTGCAGATTAATATATTTGGTGACTTGGCGTGCACAAAGCCTCACCATTGTGGCCGTGTCTGAATGCCTGTGAATAGGATGGAGCATATGTGGCCTGTCACCGCAGGTGCCCACATCTGTTCATCTCCGGGCAGATGCTCTCAGAAAAGGGGAGAGCATTTCCAAAAGCTTGGGCCCGCCCCATCCATACCCATCCTCTTTCTTATAATCACCTTCTGCAGAAGAGTTTCTACCCCCACCTTCTCCTTCCCCCCCCCCCCCCCCTTCCCCTCACACGGAGAGATGAGGAAAGAGATAAAAAAGACTCAAATTGGAAGTGGCTTGGAAAGCCCTGGAAACATACACTCAGACTGCACCCTCCACCCCCAGAGTTTATTAGCAGCAGGTTTTGCACAGCAACAAGATGTGCACACCATGCCAAGGGGGCTGCGGGCCACAGGGGAACAGAAAACCCCTTCACGCATGAAAAGCAGTACAGTACAGCAGAATGCTGGGCTGGTGTCGCAGAATGAGAGGGGCCTGTGCAGCTACTCTCTGGAGTGGTAGTTTAAAGCTACGATGATAGAGTTCTGGCTTAAAATGATGATTAATAAAACCAGGGAAAAGAGAAGAGGGGTTTCCCCTCTGGTGAACTGGTGAACTGGTGAACACAGTGAATATTGCTACCAAGGTTAGTAGCAGAAGGGAATCTTTCCAGCCATCCAGTGAAATCTCATTGCCGGAATGCAAAACATTTTTCTGAGAAGTGTCGTCATGTTTTATTTTTTATCCCATGTATATGACGGGAGCATGACTGTTCACCCTTCCTGCGCTGTGACACCATGGCCAAGACCAACCAGTCCCCTGTGCTGCACAGGGTTTTGCCAGGCTTGCCTAACGGGGTGATGGGTGCTGGGGCACAGGGCAGATCTCAGGACCACGGGAGGAATGCAAACGCGATCCGTGGGTTCTACTGTACAGAAGATCGCTGGTGTCCTTGGAGTTCAAGGGGGGCAAAGAGCTCCCCAAAACGCGAGGCCGCGCTTCTCCCTGGCGGGGCAAGGGTGCGGGTGTTGGGAACGTTTGAATCGCTGCATCCCAGAGCAGAGACTAGGAAGTGGGGTAGGCGGCGGGAGCGCCCGGCCGGGGGCACCCACGAGAGGCTTCAGCGCAGGGTGCTATTCCTGACCGAGGGGAGCAAGGCGGGAGAAGCCTCCTTCCCCCGAGCCCCTGATGTACCCTCGTCGCGGGGAGGCCCCACGGCTCTGCCTCCTCGAGCGGGCGGTGCTCCTCTGCTCCCGGAGCAACGGCAGTTTACGCAAACGAGTGACCAATTTTATCCCTCGTAGTTTCCCACGAAGAAAATCCCGTCGGAAGCAAGCCAGGGAGCAAACCCCAACAAGTAGCGCAGGGGAACCGGACGGGACGGGACGGGGGTTTTCGCGTTCTCCTCGTGTGCAATCAGTAAAACACATATAGGGGCCACTTCGGGATTTGCCCAGGGACAGGGTTGCAGAGCAGCTGGCTGCGGTAATCTCCTCGGGAGACAAAGGAATGCCCCGTCCCAGGATCACAGGTAAACACACAACCATTGTCATGAAAATGAGGGGCTAGGATAGGGCCTGAGCAGATGATTTGCGGTTTGAAAAAGGGGGCTGGGGGGGGGGGGGGAGGGAAGGCCCAGAGCTGCTTATCTATCATCTGGCCTCGCTGTGTGCCAGCTGAGCCACGCGACTGCTCTTTCTTATTCTAATCAGCACATGCCTTTGCAACTTTGGGCTAACCTACACGCTAAACTTCTTAATCCCCCTCCCTGCACACGGCAAGGCCGGCAGAGCTCGCTTGCGGCACCTCCGCGCTCCCCGCCCTCTCGACTCGGGTCGGGTTGGGGCGCTCGGCGGCGGGGCCCCGGCCAGAGCCCACACCCCGTGCACGCCGCCGAGCGCGGGGCCCGAGGGGGAGGCAGAGCCCAGGCCCGGCGGCGCCCCGCCTGCCCCGCCCTGCCCTCCACTCCCATCCCGTCCCGGGGGGACAGGTGAAGGGGGCGTGTAGGGAGGGCTGCGGCGGAGGGGCAGCCGCTCACACATACCTCCGTAGGGACTATAGACCTAATTAAAATATTATGCACACTCGACTACACATAGCTCCACACGTACACGTCCCTGCGCCGGCGCACCGTTCGCCATATGCCCGGAGCCCTCCGTCCCGGGAAAAATCAGGGTTGCGCGCCAGCGATGGCAGAGCGTCGCCCTAATTAACACACATACACGCACATCCTTTTGAAGTGACTTTTCCCATCATCTGGCTCGCTTAGAAATAAGGGCTTCGGCTGGCCGGGCGCTCTCGGCCGCGGTGCTGCGCGGCGCACCGTAAATCCCCCGCGCCCGGGGCAGAGCAGGGGAGTGGTTGCACGGAGGGTATCGATTAGGGCAGGAGGGAGAGCACAATACCCCACCCGCCCCAGCGAGTCGCTGCCACCCGTGGCCGGGCCCACCGTACCCCGGCCGTGCGGGGTCACAGCATTCTGCCCCCGGGGGTCCCGCCGCCGGTTGTCCCCGGTGGGGCTAGCGCGGCCGACCCTCGGGCGTCGGTGTGGGAGAGATGGCCCATCACCGTGCGTGGGGGTTGGTGTCAGTGCGCGGTTACCAGCGCCAGGGAGGCGCGGGGGGCGGCGGGCGAGCGCGGTGCGGAGACACGCGGTTGGGAGCGAAAAAGCGCCATTTGGTTGGGAGCAGATGGCTGGCTGGGGGGCTGATCGCGTCTAAAGGCGTGTCATCCCCCTTCAGCGAGAATCCCTAAGGGCTCCCCTTGTCTTCGAAATCAATGAAAATTAAAGTGCAGAGAATGGATGAATAGTTGGACCTCGAGTCCCTCCTTTGTTCGCCTCAGCTACTGGTGGGCAGGAGTTAAACTACAACAGCCTCCTATAGAAACACTTAAGTTAAACAGTCTCCCCGTTAGCCCAGCATCTGAAAGAGAGAGGGAGAGGGGGGAAAAAAGCAGAAAAAGGAGCTTTCTGCTTGATTTCCCCAATACAGAATCGCGTGGCATAAATTAAGCGGGAGAAGAATGAGCGCCGTGGGCAGGATCCTGCCGGCTCTCACGGCGCCTTTCAGTCACGCTCAGCAGCGGTAATCGAGAAATCTGTGCCACGTCAATTTAACAAATACCCGGTACCGAAGGGGGGTTGTTAAGGATTTGGGGGCAAGTTTTTTCGGGTCTTTTCTTTTTTTTTTCCCTATCCCTGGGTTAAAGCCCTCGCGCGTGTAACTTTTTATTTCCATTTTTTTAAGCAAGAAGATGCTAATGGACCCCATCTCGCAGATTAAAAGATTCGCCGTGATATATCATTTCTCTCCTCCACCGAGGGGCTACCCCCAAATATCAAGGCCCCCTCCCCTCCACTCGCTTTGTATCTCCTATACGAAGTGATCCCCCCCCCCGCTTTCCCGGGGATAACGCCGCAGCCAAATTTGAGAAGCAGCAGCAAGCCACTTGTAAAGATGCTGACGCTAGGTGGCAAAAGTAATGTACAGTTCAATCCGGCGTTGCTCCCGGGTGTCGTGCTTGTGTGTCCCGGTCCCCGCCGCAGCCGAGGATGGGCACCGGGAGGGGGGGGGCGGGGGGCGGGAGGTGGGGTGGTGGATGCGCGGTGCGGCCGGTCCGCCTTAGACCCGCCACCTTCCCCTCTCCCTCGCATGGTGCCTGCGGGATCGCTGCTCCCCTCTTTGCCTAGATATACCTCAGGGGTGGTGGGAAACCCCAAACGCAACCCCCAAACATTCCTGTACATTTAAGATTTCCCTTAAGCGTCGAGGGGCGGGGAGAAGGGAGAAGAGTACCTGTAAGCAAGCCCCTGGTTCGACCAAAATTAGATGTAGAGGATCACACATTGAGTTGCAGAAGTCTGTATATTTGTTAAAGTACCGAGGGTACCTGTTCGGGTTTGGGGTATATGCCACCAACACGCAGTAAATGAACGTTGGCAGCTACAGTCCTGAACAGTCAAGAAGAGCTGGGCTGAATGAACTCATTAGTGATTTTCTTTTAATTGGTATTACCCAATGCGTTTACTTTAAGAAGTCTTTAAGATATTTTTTTTTTCCTAGCGCATTGTAAGATAATTTGTGATCAAGACATCTGCTTCAATGAAAGTCACATTTTGCCATGCAAATGCACGTTTCAACCCAATGAAGTCGCCATAATAAGGCTTTTAGCACGGCATACCTACAGTGAGGTTATTGTGGCCAAATCCTCTCCTTTCGCACACAAGCTTAATCTGCGCTGAAATGATCTGTTACAATTAAAATGACATTTACAGAGACAGTTACACCTTGCATCCTAATGAATCCGCCTGCGCCTACCGAAGGTGTTTAAACAGGGGGTCCGAGCAAAATGGAAAACCCCGCTTGGAGGGACGTGCCAGAGTCGCCCTCCGACTTTTATCCCCCGCTTCCATCCAGCATTAAAATACTACTCAAATAGTCATCATCTGTATCCCTTTTTCACCGCATCAGTGTACTCCTTTCCACGTTTTGAAGATCAAAACAAAAGTTCTAGCGTGTGATATATAAAAAAATAATAATAAGTTTCCGGTTTGTGCAAAGTTGTGGGGTTGGTGGGGGTATTTTTTTTTATTTTTTTTTTCTACGGAGAGGGGAAGTGCTGGAAGGGATTTCTTTAAAAAATGTGCGGACATTGTTGTAGAGGCAGTAGCGTGCGCCGAGGGGAGCTCTTTCTCTCCCTCGCATTGTGCAGGGAGCAGGTGCTGTCTACATTACCATACAGCTGAGAGCACAAAGAGCTAACTGATTCAGCCCTCACACAATAACAAACGGCCTTAATGACAGCCACGCGAACGACACACACCAAACTCACTTTTTACTAAGCTGAAGGAGGAAAAAAGAGAGAGAGAGGGAGAGGTTGGTGGGGATGATGATGATAATAATCATAGAGGGGTGCGAGACCCGGGCGGAGCGGTGACTCTCTCCGGCAGTGGTGGTGTCGGGGACGGGACCCGCGGAGCCCCGCAGCCTGGTCCCCTCCGTGGGTCCCCCCCACCCGCCAACCAGCCCGCACCCTCCCGCGCCGCCGCGATTCTCGGGACCCCTCTTCCCTCCGCCGGCGGGACTGGCGGTGTGAGCGGAGCCAAGGGAAGACCGAGCCCCTGCTCGGTTCTCCCAAATTCATCACCACCACTCCCCTCCGATTATCCCGGTTATGCCAAGGGAAACACGGCGTGCATTTCGAGGGATCAGATCCCCCTTGCTGCGGCTCGCTGGCTCCCACCTCCCTCTTCCCGTTAAAGCCGAAGATGCCCCTTGGAAGTGGTCACAGTCAGCGAGTTACTTTTGGGGGGCACGGCGGTAGCTTTGCACGTTTGGAGAGGTAATTCCAGCCGCCGTCCCCGGGGCCGTTTCCACGGCGGAGCGCGTTGCGCTGCCGCTGCCCGGTGCGGCGCGGTGTTACCTCTCCCCGGAGCAGAAGGGGGATTCTTGCGGTTACCAAATTTGCAGGAATGTAAATGAGCACGGTTTGTGAGCGAGGAGGGGAGGGGGAGGAGGGTTGCACATTTTACAGCTCACTGACCATTTGGCGATCCATTGAGAGGAGGGTTTGGAAAAGTGGCTCCTTTGTGACAGCGCTAGCCAGATTGGGGGGCTGCTCATTTGCATCTCATTAGGCATGCAGGCGGCCGGCGGGATATAAGGGAGGCAGGCACCCAAGGAGAGGCAGATCCTTAGCGCTTCCCCCTCGGAGAGAGCCGCCGAACCGCGGCGCGGAGCGGAGCAGCGCGGAGCAGCCCCCAACCCTCCCCCCCCCCCCCCTCCCCCAGTCCCCCGTAGGAGCACACCCGGACACGCTCAGCGCGCCGCTGTTGAGACACGAGCTTGTTTTTGTTGGCTGGGATTCCTCTAAAAACAAAAGTGAGCCCACAACAAGGAGAGAGCTCCGCTGCTTCTGAAAAAATAATAAAATAAAAAGGAAAAAAAGAAAAACACAAAAAGGGATCAAGGCTCCGACGTGACCTGCTGCCGTTTGACACCCACCAGCCCCGACGGGCGCAGGGCGAGCGCAGCCGCGCAGAGCCGCTCCCGCACCGCACCGCACCGGGAATTACCGCCGCTGCCGCCGCTGCCGCAGGGATTTCCAGATCGCCGATTTTTGATCTTCATTGGGAAGCCTTTTCTTTGCCTCTCTTGGGAATTAAGTTGCCTTTTTAACAAATTTTTTATTTTTATTTTTTTTTCTTCCTGGAGAAAAGGAGGAGCATCGTGGATTGGGAAAGAAAAAGAATTTAGCAGATTAATCGTAACAATTTTTTTTCTTTTTTTTCTTCCTTTTTTTTAATCTTTTGCTATCCCAAAGAGCTGTCAGCCGCCGACAGGCTACACCTAGAGCTATCGACAGAGGGAGGACAAAAAGTCAGAGGCTCTCCTGAAAGGAGGAGACCGTGACACTAACTCTTCCAGCTCTGCTGGGGCGAGCGGCTCTGGCCGCTGTGTTTTACTCTTCCCCCGAGAGACACTGTCCCCTTTCCCCTCTGAGGAGAAGACAAGGGGGAGGAAAGCGAGGGCACCAGAGCTGCCCCTCCAAAATGGGAGGTCGGTTCCTGCTGACACTCGCCCTCCTCTCTGTGCTGCTGAGCCGCTGCCAGGTAGGTGCCCGCGGGGAAAGGGGAGGCAGGAATACCTTCAGTGCTCCCTGATCCGGAGGGAGCTGGTCCTGAGGCGGTGCAGGGCACTACCACTGCCTGTTGCAGCCGGCTCCCGAGGAGGCGGGGAGGAGGGGGTGTCTGTCCCGCCGGTGCCCAGGCTCGGGCCGGGGGAGCGGGATGCTCGGAGGGCTGACGGCCGCTGTCCCCGCCCCGCAGGTCGGCTGCTCCGGGGTCTTCGAGCTGAAGCTGCAGGAGTTTGTCAATAAGAAGGGGCTGCTCAGCAACCGCAACTGCTGCCGCGGCGGCGGCCCCGGCGGCGGCGGGCTGCAGCAGTGCGACTGCAAGACCTTCTTCCGCGTCTGCCTCAAGCACTACCAGGCCAGCGTCTCCCCCGAGCCGCCCTGCACCTACGGCAGCGCCATCACCCCCGTCCTCGGTGCCAACTCTTTCAGCGTTCCCGACGGCGCGGGGGGCGCGGACCCGGCCTTCAGTAACCCTATCCGCTTCCCCTTCGGCTTCACCTGGCCCGTAAGTGGGGGGTGGCAAGGGAGGGGACGGTCCACAACCCATCCCCTCCCACCCCGTCCCATCCCATCCCATCCCATCCCATCCCATCCCATCCCATCCCATCCCATCCCATCCCATCCCATCCCATCCACCTGGGCCACCCTAGCTGGGTAAGACCCTTTCCAAGGGACCACTGATCCCCCCAGGGGTGGGAACTGATAGTTCCTGGGTGCTTGGGATGCTGCCTTCTGGCCTTACCTGCTCTCATGCTCTCCTGGTGGGTTATCTCTGCTCCTTTCCCCAGGGCACCTTCTCACTCATCATTGAAGCTCTGCATACGGACTCTCCTGATGACCTCACCACAGGTAACCATCTTGAAACAGACTCTTGCCCAGAATAATCCCAGCCTTGCAGTCCTACTTTCCCCTTCTTTCTGCAGTATAAAGCGTATTCCCCTCATCCCATCCCTGCTCCACTTCAGAAGGCCGTGGGAAAAGAGGCCAACCTGTTGGCACACAGCCCTATCATCCTGCCTCTGCTGTTCCCCTCCAACCAAGGACCCCCAGTTGAGCATCTTCCTGTGCCCCTGCCTGCTTCGGGTTCCCTAATCACACCTCTCCTCTCCACTTCCACACAGAAAACCCCGAGCGCCTCATCAGCCGCCTGGCCACCCAGAGGCACTTGGCAGTAGGGGAAGAGTGGTCCCAGGACCTGCACAGCAGTGGCCGCACAGACCTCAAGTACTCCTATCGCTTTGTGTGCGATGAGCACTACTATGGAGAAGGCTGCTCTGTCTTCTGCCGCCCCCGAGATGATGCCTTTGGTCACTTCACTTGTGGAGAGCGCGGCGAGAAAGTCTGCAACCCGGGCTGGAAAGGCCAGTACTGCACTGAGCGTGAGTGTCTACCTTCTTGTCTCCCTGGGTGCTGGTTACAGCAGTGTTCTCTGAGTTCTTGTGGGGTATTTCTCTGACATCAGGCCCCATGGAAGAGGGGAACCAAGCTACAGTGAGTGAAGGTCTGATGCTGTGTACACGCTTTGCTGGTGCAGGGGACAGGAGGCCTTCAGCATTGCCAAAGGAAGTTAACCTAGGCAGCCCCTTCTCAAGCTAATAAAATGTCAGTGCCAGCATTACACTCCTGCTCATTGCTGTAGACAGCAAATCTGATAGCAAAATGTTCAGCAGTTGCTCAAGGATTTATTAAAATATATCAGGCTTACTTTTTATATGTAGCCACCCCTTCAACCATGGTACACCAATATTATTATCTACAGGGTACATGGCTTCAGGAGAGGGAGGTAGGCTGTGGAAACATCCATGCAGCAGGCTTACTGGTAGGCTTATTATGGTCTGATGTCTTGTCACCTTGTGCTGAGAAAAGTATTGGGAGGGCAAGATAATCTCTGTGGCCTCTAGACCGTACATTTCTCATTTGGGGTACTCATAAACTGTCACTAACAGACATTGTTGCACCTGGAGCCACGAGAACATTCAGCTACTTCCCCATCTCTCTTCTGTGCGATTGCCATGATCATTACTACTAATAAAGTAGTGAGGGATATGAGTTTCAAAGTATGCCTGAGCTTGAAGTTGTTGAGGAATGTGATGTGTTGATACAGCAGGAAAAGCTGGGACAGTGAACAGATCACAGCAAGGATAGTCAGGGTTGTCAGATACCCTTTGTAGATACCCAGCGGTGTACACCCAAACACGCACACAGCTCCTGCTGCAGTGTGTGATGGCATTCTCTATTTGTGTGTGTACATGGATCTGAAGTACGCTGATGGATGACGTACTGGGTGAGTGCTCCTCTCAGTCACCAAAGAGCCAGGCAGGCAGGGAGGAAACTGTTACAGGCTGTAAAGCAGCCTCTCAGTTTTCTCCATGTTGTGTTTTTGTTTTTCTTAAAGCCCACCTACACTGTGGTCTCAGCTGAGCTGCTACCAACCGAGCCAAAACTGACTATTCACACTGTTAGTGACTGCTAGGATGCTTTTAGCAGTTCAAGGTACAGAGCTGCACAATAAACAGCAGGCAGAGAGGCTCACATTTCCTTTGATAGTGTTTTAAATAGGAACTATAACCTTTTCCATGATCAAAAGTGCCTAGCCCAGCTGTGTCAAGGGGTGGGGAAAAAGGAAGCATTTTGATAATGAGCTCTTTCGGGGCTGTCAGCACTTTTGGATGCCTGTACATCGCTGCTCTTCCCATGGAAAAGTAGAAGGCTGTCTGTCCTTCTTGATTCGTTACGTAGGCTCTTCACTCTGTTTTTCCTCTCAGAAAAAAAAAACAAAACAGCTTATAGGAGCAATACTAGGCAGGGGAGATGTGTTTATGTGTGCATGCAAAAAGAATGTTTTGCCGTTAGTGAGCGGAGCCGCCAGTCGCAGTTTGCTTCCCATTGCCTTGCCCCCAGCTCCATTCTTTCTAACTTGGAGGCGATCTGATTATCAGCACTGATTCTTTCTTTCTTTTTCTCCTCCCCCTCTTTCCCTCGCATGCCATTGTCTCCGGCTGGCTTTGTTGAATTAAAACTTTGCAGTGCCTGCTTAATGAGTTCCATAACCAGGCGAAGTAATGAGCAGAAGTCCCTTTTTTCCCTTCCCTCATCCTCCCTCCCGCTGGCTCGCTTACCTCTTTTAACAGGGCTGCACCCAGCCGCCCGCCCCTTTTCGGAGAGGGGTGGAGGAGGGGGGGAAGGAGGGAGGAAGAACTTTAGACTTATTTATTTGAATACGAAACAACAAAAAAAGTTTTTTTGCAGCGAAATCACGCGCGTGCCATAGATTAGCTGTGGGCAGGGATAGGCTGCCCGGCCGCCGGCCGCTGGCCCCATTGGCTCTGGGACCGGGGTATTGTTGCAGTGGGGCAGCTGCTGGGAGAGAATAGACAATAGAGCAGCTGTCTTGCACTGGCACCCTGCACACCAGCTGTCCACTCTTATCTGCACACACACTTTTGGGGGATATTAAGAGGTGGAGCTGTGTGCATAGAATTGGAAAAAAGGACTTCTGACCCTCACTGGGAAGTGAAGGGGGGTAGGGGGCTGTGGGGAAGGGAGCAATTGTGAGCCCTCTTTTGTCTGTGTGCAACTGTATTAAGAAGAATGCTCATCCCTGGCGATAAGTAAAGTACCCAGTTACAGGGCGAGATCAATACTCCTGCAGACTCCAGAGATTAACTCAGCTGTGCTTAACTGCCCCGACCTAGTAAAAGGGGCTCGCTCCCCACCTGCAAGGTGCTCTCAGGATTGGACTTGGAAAAGGGCGGTATTTGGCCCCAGTGCTGATGTCTTTCCCTGCTTGCTTTGTTTACAGCGATTTGTTTGCCTGGATGCGATGAGCAGCATGGCTTCTGCGACAAACCTGGGGAATGCAAGTAAGTTTTCCACTCTCCTCCTGCTCCCTTCTTTGTCTGTAACGTTGATGCTATGGTGTTAAATAAGCTATTGGTCATTTGGAGGGTTGGTTTAAATGCCTTTCTTCATATTAGATGGTAATTTGAGAAATCCAGGTGATGCCAGATCAAAGTATTAATCTACAAGTCAAACAACAGTGCTTAACCTGATGAGTTTACAGTGCTGTGTGTAAGGTTTAGCTGTTTGTTGTTAGAGTAAACAAATGAACTACCTGGAACCATGGTTCTATCTAAGGAAATGGAAGAAATAGCTGGGGCTGATGAAAGCTGATGCTATGGTTGGACTTGGTGACTTTCTCACATGAAGGATCACTGAGGGCTTTTAAGAAACTTGATTCCTGGCATCAGTGTGTTTGCAGAGTTTCCGATAGGGTTTCCAACTGTGAGAAGTCTAAATCTGACGAGACTTTGTTGTTGGTCTTTTTTTTTCCAGATGCAGAGTGGGTTGGCAGGGCCGGTACTGTGATGAGTGCATCCGATACCCAGGGTGCCTTCATGGTACTTGTCAGCAGCCGTGGCAGTGCAACTGCCAGGAAGGCTGGGGTGGCCTTTTCTGCAACCAAGGTGAGTTCTCAGCCCTTGCCTGAGTGTCTATTTTAACACACAGAGAGCAAGTGGCTCTTTTGAGCTCCCTCACCCTGTGCTAGCCTTATAGACTAGCAAGTGTCTTGACTGTCCTCTTTTACAGACCTGAACTACTGCACCCACCACAAGCCCTGCAAGAACGGTGCCACATGCACCAACACTGGACAGGGGAGCTACACATGTTCTTGCCGACCGGGGTACACAGGCTCCAACTGTGAGATTGAAATCAACGAGTGTGATGCCAACCCTTGCAAGAATGGTGGAAGCTGCACTGTAAGTTTGAGTTGCTTGTGACATCTGAACCCCCAAGGGAGGAGTTAACATCAGTTTTACTGATTTTTCAGAATCCCTTTGTGAATTTCAGAGCAGCTTCAGGTAAATGTTTTGACCATTTCTCATTTCTTTCCCCCAGGATCTTGAGAACAGCTACTCCTGCACATGCCCCCCAGGATTCTATGGTAAAAACTGTGAGCTGAGCGCGATGACTTGTGCTGATGGACCGTGCTTCAATGGTGGGCGATGCACCGACAACCCTGATGGGGGATACAGCTGCCGCTGCCCACTGGGTTATTCTGGGTTCAACTGTGAGAAGAAAATCGATTACTGCAGCTCCAGCCCTTGTGCTAATGGTAAGGTCAAATATTCTACAGTGACCTTCTAAAAGGAGACCATCCAGCTGCTTTGGCTTCTGGTCTGGAGTTGATAACCAGGCCCACTGATCAATCGTGGCCCATGATACGTTGATGGTGTACTTGATGGAGGATCTGTACTTTAAAAGTAATGGTGTTGTTTGGGCCACTGGTGAAGATCCCATTTTTTCAAAATGTGGCTCTGGGCAGGTAAATTGGGCTGAAGCTTCTTGCACAAAACCCTGAAGGATTATACTTGCAGATGTTTTGCAAAGACTCTGAGGTCTGTGGATGCAAAATGCCATGCAAGCGTTAAATATTATTACTTGTAATCTATTGACAGTAATCTTCCTGTTCTCATTAAACTAGTGAAGACTTTCTTTACAGCAGTCTTCCTTATTCGTTGCCACTCAAACTCTAATGTGAGATTGTGATATTAACCTGATCTGGACTAGCTTTGTTGTCCGAGATAAGTGAAATGTTAAAAAGGGAATAGGATGGAGAATGAAACATAGATCTGATTAACAAATATCTTCCTTAAAAAAAACACCCTGTACTTTTTATGGTGGATCAGATTTGGCCATGGTTGAGCTAACCTCTTAAAACCAAAGCTTTTCTCAGCTGCTGGTTGTGACAGTCCCCGAAAAGCAGCAGGTGGGAGGCTGTTGGGTCTTTCTGTCCACTGCTCAGCACTTGTCCCCTTGATGTCTTGTAGGAGCCCAGTGTGTTGATCTGGGGAACTCCTACATATGCCAGTGCCAGGCTGGCTTCACTGGGCGACACTGTGATGACAACGTGGACGACTGTGCCTCCTTCCCCTGCGTGAATGGAGGGACCTGTCAGGATGGCATCAATGACTATTCCTGCACCTGCCCCCCGGGATACAATGGGAAGAACTGCAGCACCCCAGTGAGCAGATGCGAACACAGCCCCTGCCACAACGGGGCCACCTGCCATGAAAGAAACAACCGCTACGTCTGTGAGTGCGCCCGGGGGTACGGTGGGCTCAACTGCCAGTTCCTGCTCCCCGAGCCGCCGCAGGGACCGGTCATTGTGGACTTCACTGAGAAGTACACGGAAGGCCAGAATGCCCAGTTCCCCTGGATCGCTGTCTGCGCTGGGATTATCCTGGTCCTCATGCTGCTGCTGGGGTGTGCTGCTATGGTCGTCTGCGTCAGGCTCAGAGTGCAGAAGAGGCACCACCAGCCTGATGCCTGCAGGAGTGAGACTGAGACCATGAACAACCTAGCCAACTGCCAGCGCGAGAAGGACATATCCATAAGTGTCATTGGTGCCACTCAGATAAAGAACACGAATAAGAAAGTAGACTTTCACAGTGATAACTCTGATAAAAATGGCTACAAAGTCAGATACCCATCAGTGGATTACAATTTGGTGCATGAACTCAAGAATGAGGACTCTGTTAAAGAGGAGCACAGCAAATGTGAAGCCAAGTGTGAAACATATGATTCAGAGGCAGAGGAGAAAAGTGCAGTACAACTAAAGAGGTATGTCTCACATCTGAGCAGGTGGGGTGGCTTGACTCAGAAAGATGTGTGTGTGTCTCAGAGGTAGCGTTAAGCAGCAGCCATCTGACCTGTGTTGTCTCTTTTTGTCTTCAATAGTGATACTTCTGAAAGGAAAAGACCAGATTCAGTATATTCCACTTCAAAGGACACGAAGTACCAGTCGGTGTATGTCATATCAGAAGAGAAAGATGAGTGCATCATAGCAACTGAGGTTAGTATACTGCCTTGCCCTTGAGCAGCAGAGGAGTCTTGATGTGCAGACCTCATCTAACACGTCAGGGCAGCTAAACCCTTTTCCATCGTACCATAGTGATTCATACCTGTTGAAATCTAGCCAGCTCAAGTTTGTCGTGCTGTGGATGTTATAAAGACAAGCTCAGTGGCTTGCTGCTGTGGATGTTACATGTACAATGACTTTGCAGACAAGGGTACAGTGACAGTGTGGTTGCGGTCTTCTGACCAACCCTTTAGTGTGTTTCATGCCTGGTCCATTCTTGCCCTGTGTAAAGACAGAGTGCTCTGCAGCCTTACAGCCCTCTTCTTACTTTCTGTTACCATCTCATGACCTCTGCTCATGTTCTGTCCCACCAGGTGTAAACCAGAGGCGATATGGCAAGGTGGTTTTTCAGAACAATTTCAGAGGAGATGTGCCCCGATGAATGCTGCTGAAAGAGGAATGGGATATAGATTCCTTCACTGACTGCTGCTGAGAAACTAAATTCAGGCTTGAGCTGGTTCTCTACTGAAGTTAGCAAAGTGACTGCAAAATAAAGAAACAAGATGGACACCAGGCAAGGGTCTGTGTTCAAAGATTACTGTTGCACTGCCTTTTATGAATTTTATCATTGCACTATGGTCAGTTGCTTTTCTATATATATTTAAATGAATGGACTTAATTACTACATAAGAAGCATGCACTGCCTGAAGTGTATATTTTGGATTCTTATGAGCCAGTCTTTTCTTGAATTAGAGACACAAACACTGCCTTTATTGTCTTTTTTGATACTAAAATGTGTTTTTACTAGGTGAGAAAAAGTGTGTTATTTTTTTGAATCTGTAAAAATATTTTCATGATAATTGTAAAGTTTGAGTATTTTGTGATGTTCATTTTTTTATAATTTAAATTTTTTGGTAAATATGTACAAAGGCACTTCGGGTCTATGTGACTATATTTTTTTGTATATAAATGTATTTATGGAATATTGTGCAAATGTTATTTGAGTTTTTTTTACCGTTTTGTTAATGAAGATTCATTTTTAAAATATTTTTCCAAAATAAATATTATTAATGATAACCAGAGTGCTCTGTATGTTCTGTAACCAATGGTGCACTGATTGAACCTTGCAAACAGGCATCTGACAGACTTCCATGGATTTGCAGGTGGATGGGATAGTACCAAGACCTATCATAAAGAGTGGGGAACAACTTGCTCTGTGTAGACCCTGCTCTTCCCCCTCATAACCTTCTAAACTGTTGACCCCAAGGTTGTGCTCCCTGTTACCCCAAAGGCAAATGCCTGTTAGAACCCACAGTAATGTTTGCTCATTCGTGTTCAGCAGTGTATGTATAAATATAAGGCTTCACTTCCAGAGGAAGAGCCATAGGAGTGTGCTCCATCACAGTCCAGATGTAGGGCTCATCATGACTCAGCTCTTCATTCCTTCCAACCCCAAACACTTGCCTGGAGTCCAGGCAAGTTTGGGACACACAGGGCATGCCAGCGAGTGTCCCTGGTTCAGGTCCTTAGTGTATGCCCATGGGATATGAGCTCCCCCAGTCACGCCTGCTTGGGGGGCGGCTCTTCCTTCTCCAGGAAAGACTGACACTTAATTGAATGGTGGCCACAACTCTCCTGGCTATGATACCTGTCTGAAGGATTAGTTTCATCTTTGGTTTTCACTCTGCCCCTTGTGCCTGCTGCTTTCATATAAGGGCAGGGTGATCCCATCCTGTGGCTTGGCTCCAATGCTAAGGCAATTTCCCCAATTTAGTTTGCCCTAAGTCCTTCAGGCTGCACTGCACATTAATTGCTCTTCAGAAACAAGCAAAGTGTTCTTCCACTTCAGGAAAAAAAAGGAAAACCTAGGAAATAATTTCCTTTTTGCCCCATTAAATCTGAACCCAAAACATTGTGGTCCACCTCCTGCAGCTTCAGGGAGCAGACGAAAATCCTCTGTTCCCATTTACTTCAGGAGAGGGGGATGCTATCCAAAATACAGAGTGAGAAAGCAGATATAATCAAGCTATTATCTCAGCTGGTGATCTACAACTGTAAAGTATATATGTACTCCCCTTGTTCCAGCATATATAAGTGCATGAACCACTAAAGTTGGACTTTGGTGTGAGGTCAGTGGAAAACTGACTGCAGGAGCTTGTCTGCCTATAAAGCTTTCTCGCTAAGCCAAACCTTAGACAAGATCTACTAACTCACTTCTCATGAAGTGACCCAGCAGGGTCAGCCTCTTCATTTATCCCAAAGTGTCTGTTTAGGGAAAGCTTCCATGAGAGTGATGCGAGGTGTTAAAAACCAGCCTGTCAGTGATGGTCTGAACAGCGCTTTCCACCTGAGCAGTAACATAACAATCTGCTGATAACCAGTCAATGCATCATATATTAAACGAGGCACAACAGTGTGTATGGCAGCAGGTGTTCACACAGCAACATAATCTCACAGGCTGGACAAATGAGGGAGCATTGGCAGGCTTTATTGCCATCTCTGTTGCTGAGAGATGAGTTGCTCTTGAACCTTGGGCAAATCACTTTATTTCTCCCTCTTTCCTCTTCTTCCCAGGCTTTTTGGAGCAGGCTTGCCTCCTATGATGCACTGCACTTTGTGCAGTCAGTGCCATGGTCTCAGCTGGGCCCTCTTAATGCTGCTTCTGTAGAAATAGCCGTAATGAATGGAAGGTCATTGATGGCTGAGTGCTTCTATAATACAAGTCTTCAGTGCTATAGCAAGTGCTACTTTAATATGAAGTCAGGTAAAGGTCTGGAAAAGCACACTGGAGGCACAACATTAGCATCTGTCTAACTTTGCTTAAAAATATAAAAGCTTCAGAAAGCTCAGTTTGTCCAAGTGTGCTAATTACCAGAAGTGCTGAGCTTGGTGAGTGAAGGAAAATGTACTGTGGGCAAAGAGAAGGCCAGCGATGCTAGAGAGGGACTCTCCATTAGGGACTATATTGATAGGACAATGGGTTCAAACTTAAACAGGGGAAGTTCAGGTTAGATATAAGGAAGGAGTTCTTTACTGTGAGGGTGCTGAGGCACTGGCACAGGTTGCCCAAAGAAGTTGTTAATGCTCCATCTCTGGCAGTGTTCAAGGCCAGGTTGGACAAAGCCTTGGCTGACATGGTCTAGGGTGAAGTGTCCCTGCACACGGGAAGGGGATTGGAACTTGATGATCTTAAGGTCTTTTCCAACCCTAACTATTCTATGATTCTATGAATCCATTGTCTTGTCCTCCTAGAGCACCTTCTGAAATGATTGCTACACAGATGAGCCCAACGGCTTCTCGCATTTCTGTCATGAGCACGGTTGAGGCTACTGCCACACTGCAGGATTTATCTCTTGCACAGAAATAGTAATTCCCCCAAACCTTAGTGTGTTTGTGTGTGTATACAGGGGCTTTTGGTGGCCATAGCAGGCTTAATTATGTAGTGTGGAGCAACGGATCCACACTCCTCACATTTAGTACCTGGGCCTTTCTGGGGAAAAAAAATGGATGATCTGGCAGGGGGAAGTCGTGTGTGTTCGCTTGAGGTAGAGTGGCATGTGCAGGTACCGTGTTGTGATGCAGGAGGTGCACACCATGGGCAAGGGGCAGCGAGGGTGCCTGCCTGCCTCAGCCCTGACAGGGCAGTGCTTGCCTGCAGATCGAGCTCTGCTGCCAGAAAGCGGCAGGAACCTCCCTGTCAGCAGGGTCTCCGAAAGGCCTCTTGGTTCTGAAATGAGAGGAGAGCCTGCCTGGGGAGGCCGTTTAGCCAGGACAGCTGAGAATTCCGGGCCTGATCCAAAGCCCATTAAGTTAATGGAAAGACTCCAATGAGCTGCGGGGACACATGGCACCGTGCCGCTCCTGACACAGCACATCTCTGGCTCTCCCCGGGAAAGCTGCACATACTGGTGCAGCAGGAGACGTGAAAGACCATGGCTGGTGTACCCAGGTCTGCCTCCTGGGTGGATCATACCCCCGGTGCTAGTCTGTCCACTGTGCCAGGACCTCAGGCGCCTGGGGTCCCTCCCCAGGCCATTGCTGTGGCACCATCCCTTCATGTTCCCACCTTGACGTGCAACATCTTCTTCCCTCCGCCCTGGAGCAGCCAGGGAGGGCTTGGCCTCATTCAGTGCCAGGTCTCAACAGGGTGGCTGGAGAGGGCACCCATCACCCCATGTCTCCGCCTGCAAATCAGTATCTCTGTGGCAAGTGGCATTGGAAAAGTTGGCATGCATGGGACATGTTAGGAACTCAGAGGCACTGAAACAGCAGCAGAGGTTAGCTGTGGGGAGATAATAGCGGCTGTGCTTGTGTAAGGGGACTTTTTAATTGAAGTGTGCTACAGCTTTTGAAACATAGGAAGCTTTGGGTTCAGACAGCATGTCTTCCTTTTAATTGCAAGACACAGGCTTATAAATTGGTTTAAATTGATATTTGTGTTTACTTTGTACACAGTGCAGCAGGACAATTTGGGTGTCAGGAAACCTGGGTACTATTCCTGTCTCCATCACAGACCTAATGTATAACCTTGGGAGAGGAAGGATGGTCTTGTGGTCAAGGCGCTGTTGAGGGACTCAGGAGGGCCACCTTCTATTTCCAGCTCTCCCTCCAGACTTCCTGTGCGACCTTGGACCTGTGTCACTTAATCTTTCCAAGACCTTAGGAAAGTGGGGGCCTCCTGGTTGTGCTAACAGGAGGAGGTCATCTGTGTGTGTGTGAGAGGATACCGTGGTGGTGGTGAATGTTAAAATACCTTCCAAGGCGAGTAAGGCTATTTCCTATCTCTGCATGTCAGATTGCTTGTCTGCGAGATGGGGAGCTATTTTTTGCAAAGCCCTTTCAGATGTTTGTATGGAATGAAGACCCCTCTCACAATTGAAACATCCATCATTGCAGGGAGGATATGCAAACCCTGCACTGGCAGCAAGGAGACAACCCGGAGCGAGGCAGCTCTGTTGGTGTGTGTGCAGGGGGGATGTGATGCAGCTGCAGGCCAATGGCACAGAAAGGATGCCACACACGGCAGTGTTGACATGGGGGGCCATGGTGCCGTCAGCCTCCTCCCACAGATTAGCACTCAAGCTCTCTGCTATAGCTGGCTCTCTGCTGTAGCCATCCATCTTCCAGGAAAACCATTTTGCAGGTAGAGATACAGATACAACTTGGTTTAAGACTATGAGGGACAAGGAGGAAAGCTGCAGGAATGATACACACCTTGGGAAACCTCCCTTTGTATGGCTTAACATTCAAAGTCATGTATTTCAAACAAAATGACCTGAGAACTACTTCTCGCCCAGATTCCAGACTGAGTAGAAGCCTGTCCTGATGCTGACATGTACTCGTGACAGATGAATGGGGAAGCTCTGCATTCCCTCCCCTCTTCAGGAGCCACTACCTTCACCTGACTGTGTCTCTGCTACCTACTGTGCAAGTCAGAGAAATCAAGAAGCTGACCAGGAAAGACTCAATGTGCTCTATGAGGCAGATTTGCAGATGAATCATGGGGCCTATTGTAAAAATTTGATGGCTGATTCTCCTGCTTGCAGTGGGGCAGAGGTGGACAACAGCCCCACTGCTGTGTGGGGCTGCTGCTTGGTCAATGGGGCAGGGAGGCAAGGGAGATCTGGCTGAGGCCACAGCATCCTCATGACAGGCTGGGTTTTTTCTTAGAAAGAAACATCCCTGGTCTTTTCTCCTGCTGCTGCAGCCCCATCTTCTGCACCAATACATTTGAGGCTGTTGGGGCTGCTCTCTGGCCCTGCAGAGCCAGTCAGTATGGACCAGTCTATGTCCATAGTGTTAAACTGCCTTACTCTCCCAAACTGACTGCTCACAACCACACTGCCTGTTGGGGATGGCCCATGCTTTGTGCCTAGGAAGAACCTGGGACACTGCAAACTTTGGGGACAAAAGCATGGCAGGGACCCCTGTAGCAACACAATAATACAGATGATTGAGGCCAGGAGCTGTTTAATTTCCTAGCACAGGTGTATCCAGAGCATCTTAGTGTCATGTTCAGGAATGCTTTACTCCTTGGCATAGATGAGGAACTCATGTGTTAGCTGTGGGGGTAACTGTGAGTGTCAGTGCAGACTCATGTCACCTACTAGGGGCAACTATATAAACTAGCATTGCTTACTTTAAAGCCTCCTCTGTGCATGGGTTATATATGTCCAGGCAAGTTTCTTTTTTACATGGTATAAAACTATACCAGTTAAACGGCCCGTGTAGATGCAGCTACATCAAAAGAAAGATCATGTACATCAGTGCAGATACCTTCCCTTATTTGTTTATCCAAACCGAGCTAGTAGAAGAATCACAGACTCATAGAATAGCATGGGTTGGAAGGCACCTTCAAAGGTCATCTATTTCAACCCCCCTGCAGTGAGCCGGGACATCTACAACTAGACCAGGTTGCCCAGAATCACATCCAGCCTGGCCTTGAATGTCTCCTGGGATGGTGCATCCACCACCTCTCTGGGCATCCTGCACCACCCTTTTACCACCCTCACTGTAAAAAATTTCTTCATGTCTATTCTGAATCTCCCCTCTTTCAGTTTAAACCCATCACCCCATATCCTATCAGAACAAGCCCTGCTAAAAAGTCTGTCCCTGTTTTTCTTGTAGACCCCTCTTAATAACTAAAAGGCTGCAATTGAGGTCTTCACAGAGTCTTTTCTCCAGGCTGAGCAACCCCAGCTGTCTCAGCCTATCTCCACAGGAGAGGTGCCCCATCCCTCTGATAATTTTTGTGGCCTTTCTCCAGACCCACTCCATCAGGTCTATGTCTTTTCTGTGTTGAGGACTCCAGAACCGAACACAGTACTCCAGGTGTGGTCCCACCACAGCAGAGGGGCAGAATGACCTCCACTGACCTGCTGGCTGTGCTTCTTTAGATGCAGCCCAAGATACAGTTGGCTTTCTGGGCTGCGAGCACATGTTGCTGCTGTGTTCTCCACACGTTTTCTCACATGTTCCACACACAGTATTATACCATTGTGTTTTGCAGAGCATGGCTATGTGGCTATATACATGCAGGTATAATTAAGAAAATACATAGCTGTTTGGACAAGGCTCAAGCACTTACAGCTGTGCTGGCTCGGGACTCATGGTTAGCTTGTGTATCTCCACAGTGTAATTTCCCAGGGTGTTGAAGACTGAGCAGGAGAAAGGATCAGGATGGGGGTCTCCTGTGTTCTCTTTTGTAACATGAAAATAGAACTTTGTGAGGGCAGCGCATTCTATGGGAAAAGACAGAGCAGATAGACAACTCTGACCAGCGCTTCATGTGGGGAGGACATGTACTGCAAAGCCATTTCTGCACCCAGCTCCCACCGCTGCCTGGATGTTCACAATGGATGATTGTTTCTATCCAGAAGTTTTACCCAACAGAAAACTACATTTTTTTTTTTTTTCAAAACACTTCAAAGTCAAGATATTTATGAAGGAGATTTTCAGCTATGGTAAACCGAAATACCATGTTGAAAAGCTCTTGTGAGTTTCACTTTCTCTGTGAAGCAATAGAGCAAAATCACAAGTGTGTGTTTCCTGGCAGACAGCAAATTAGCTGAAAACTTCCTTTCCTTTTCTTTACTTTTCGCAGAAATGGAATTTATCTTGGAATCTCATGTCATTACAATTTTGTGCATTTTACTTTTGATTTTGCCTTAGAATGTGAACATCTTCAAGGGTAAGTTCTCCCTCTTGTCCCATTTTCTAGCCCTAAGTAGCATTTTAGTGGCCTGAGGAAGGTTGTATTTACCACAAGCAAACTGCAGGATTTGGCTGTATGTCAGAAAATACTTTTAATGGTGACCTGCACACAGAAAACTGGTATCCTCAAGAACAACTAACTAAATGAGGCACAAAGAATGTGAACTCCTAGCATAAAAGGCTATTTTTAAGACCATTAATACAAAAAAATTAAACCTCTTCAGAACATATTTTATAGGCATAGAGTCAAAATACCTTGTCTACATTGAAAATAAAAATTGTACAGAGCAGAATCAGGCCTCCAACTGTGGATCCAAGTTCTGCATCCAAGATAATTTGGCTTTGTGTACTTTCCTGCTCAAGGCACTAAGATTTTCCTTTACAAGTTTTCCCATACATGCAAACATGGGTGTTTACAAAGGCCACCTGTCTGAAAAATGTAAGCCCCTTGCTTCAGTCTGGTTTTACCTCGGTTTGAATCAAAGGGCCCGTGGAATTCTCCATTGCCTGCAATGGTGATGGTTTGGCACAGCTGTTGCTGTTGCTGCTGCTGCCGAGATTGTGGGCGTCTTTTGAAAAGTCAGGTGCCCAGTGCTTTTCTTTTCTTTTCTTTTCTTTTCTTTTCTTTTCTTTTCTTTTCTTTTCTTTTCTTTTCTTTTCTTTTCTTTTATTTTCTTTTATTTTCTTTTATTTTCTTTTATTTTCTTTTCTTTTCTTTTCTTTTCTTTTCTTTTCTTTTCTTTTCTTTTCTTTTCTTTTCTTTTCTTTTCTTTTCTTTTCTTTTCTTTTCTTTTCTTTTCCTTTTCTTTTCTTTTCTTTTCTTTTCTTTCTTTTCCCTTCCCTTCCCTTCCCTTCCCTTCCCTTCCCTTCCCTTCCCTTCCCTTCCCTTCCCTTCCCTTCCCTTCCCTTCCCTTCCCTTCCCTTCCCTTCCCTTCCCTTCCCTTCCCTTCCCTTCCCTTCCCTTCCCTTCCCTTCCCTTCCCTTCCCTTCCCTTCCCTTCCCTTCCCTTCCCTTCCCTTCCCTTCCCTTCCCTTCCCTTCCCTTCCCTTCCCTTCCCTTCCCTTCCCTTCCCCTCCCTTCTTTTTTCTCCTTCCCTCCCTCTTTCTTTCTTCCTTTCTCTCTTTCTCTCTTTCTTTCTCAGTTTCAGTACAGTTTAAAGTAGCCACAAAAAAATTTACCATATTGAGTAAGTAAGTTCTTATAATTGACTTCAGGAAGTGTTATCTGGAACGGCAGTTGTGAGCACACAAACTCAGCAGACTTATCTGCGTTATCTAATTACCAGACTATAAAGTTCTGCTGACATTTCCTTTTGATAAATACAATACACTGCTTTCTTTATCTATCTGTATTAAAGAGACAATGTTCTCCTAAATCCAAACCCATGCATGCTTTTCACTAAAACAACATTATAAACCCCAAGACTAACAGAAATGTTGCCACACTTTCAACAGGCCTAAATGAGAACAGTGGCTTTCAGATGAAAAACATCTAACAGTGGTAGGAAACCACTACAAATCTCAATGTTTAAAGTGTGAATAACCATGAAACAGATTTGGCAGATATTTATTAAGCAGAAAGAGAGAGTTGGAAAAAAAAAAGGAAACAATGAGCAGCAATATAACAGATATGCTTGCATGTCTTCACTGCTGCTGATGTGTTTAGCTATATTTAGAAATACAGAATCATAGAATCATTTAGGTTGGAAACGACCCTTAAGGTCATCGAGTCCAACTGTTAACCTAACACTGCTAAATCCACCACTAAAACATGTCCCTAAGCACCACATCTGCACGTCTTTTATATTATATACTAGTGTTTATCATATGGTTTTCAAACCAGGATTGCTAGAACCAGCTGGCCTTTCCGAGCTCACTTCTGCACGTGCACAGGAGGGTTTTGGATGATGGTGAAAAGCAGGACTTCCCACACTGATCTTTGGTGCTGGAAGCCTGCAGGTAATTAATATAAAGGAAAGGTGCCTCTAAACAATGCTTGTTGCTGTTTAATCTTCTCCGTTTCCTTCTGCTACGTGAGGGAGAGGTTTGGGTGCCTCCTGCACTGGGAAGGGAAGGGGCAAGAGGCATCCAGGAGCTGTTGCAGGAAGATGTAAGGCAGGGCATGGCTGTGCTTGGGGATGCCGCTATGGATCCACTGATGCCAGTGGGGAGCTGGGGAGGGGCTCACAGAGCTGTGCTGGTGGGTGAAGGCAGATGAGAAACCTCCACGCCAGCTCTGCAGGGGACCATGGCTTGGCTTGATCTCAGCAGGGAGATGAAGGCTGCAAAAGAAGGCGAAACTGACACAGAAACATTACAAGACCTGTAGCACGGAAATCCCAGCTTGTAAGCCCTCTGAGTTTCCATTTGCCTCCGTGAGATTTAGGCATAGGGGAGCTGTGGTGCCTGGGAGTCCTTTGGCACCTGTACACACCCCACAGTCACTGTGTGCTCCTGTGTAACCACTTGGCCAGGGTATACCAAAGTTTAGAGGTTGCACAAGCATCCAGTACAAGATATGGAATGTTCAGTGCTTTTTAAATCTGCAGTTACAATAAAGAAAAAAACCCAACCCACAAGTGAAAAAGAAACGATACCACGCTGGGATAAGCTGTAAACACACAGTGTAGATCCAACACAGCCACCAAGTTCTGGGGATATTCCAAAGAGCACTTTTCTATTAGATTGAAAAGATACCCATTTCTGTCAGAAATGTTAAAGGAAGTGTTAATGATGGGAATAAATAACAGGTTCTGGGAGCCTCTGTTACTGATTAATGACTTGTCTTTTTTAAAGGAGGTTTTCTGTTGGGGGGAATCAGAAGTTTTCAGTAATGCTCTATTGTCAGACATTTGAGGAATGATTTTTCCTTTTTCTAATAAAGTGCTCCCTCATTATTTCTAAGGCAAAACAGATTCAAGAATCAAGCTAAATCAATATTGGGTTTCAGGCCACCAATAGTTGAGGAAAAGCCAAACTATAATGCTTCTCAATTGTACAAATGACTTGCCTTTTGTCCCTTTCTTTCTTTCTGCTCATTTCCATCTTGTGTTCTCTAAGTCTACCCTGCCTACCTTTACCTCTCCATCTCCCTCCTACTGTTTGCCTGAGTTATCTGAAGATGGTGATTCTGATGCCATGTATGTATGTCCCCGAAGTTGCCTTTTATAAGCGTATGAGGGATGATGAGACTGAATGTTACAGAAAGACTGGCACTGTTGCCGTTTTTCAATGATGAAGTTATTTAAAAGTAATTGAGGACAGCTCAATGAAAACATCTGCTCTGTGCCTTGGGGCCATCAGAGAAGCAAACAAAATAGTATGATGGAAAACAATATGGAAAATGCAGTAATAATTATATATTTTTTTAAATTTAATAGCTTATTTTTTACATGCATCTTAACCCACTTCAGAAACAATGGCAAGTAGCATAATATCCCATTTTTCAGCACAAAAATAAAGGCACAGGAGGATGCTATCTTGGCCCCTTTGAAGTCAATGGCAATACTGGTATTGACTCGGAGCAAGGATTTCTTACTGAAATCAAGGCAACCCAAAGAGGCCTTTCCACTAGTCTAGAGCCCCATTTCCCTGCATCCTGAACTGAAGAGAAAGCCACAGTCAGTTTCTGTCTCTGCATTTCAGAACAGGTAGGCTCAAAGCTGAATGAATTGCAGAGACTGACAGTGGAGGTGATGAGGCATATGGAAAGGCTTCCTTGTCATGATAAAATGATAGGGTTTCTTATCATAAATATGGAACAGTAAATTGGCTTCTACTTGCTTGCTGTAAAAGGGCAAAATAAGAGGATTTGAATACATGCGGTTTACTCACCAGTGGAATTTAGTGCCAGTGATGTAATTTAAAGACCTTAGTATGGTTTAGATGAGCATTGTTGGTCATATAGTAATGAGGATCTCTGCAGCTACATTAGAGATGATAAGTAACAGAATACAAACCTTAATATGCGAAGCATAGCATTGACATACCTGGGCCATGTCATGTGTTACATACTCTTCCAAGGTTAGTTGCCGTCCTTACTGGTCATTAAAAATCTTTGCCTTTTTCTTTTAAAGTGACTATTTAAAACCAGTATTAAATAAACACTGATTTGTTACTGTTTAGAGACAGAACTGAAGTGAAGAACGGAGATTTGCTTCCCTGCTGTCTGGGAGTTGTCAGAAATTCTGAGTTGTCTTCGTTTGATGTTAAAAATAATGCTATCATGCTATGACTTCCATGTACCCAGCTCCTCAATTATCTTTCTTTGCTCATATAAGGAAAACACACTTTGCAATGGAGCCATAACTGGGGAAGAACCTAGCAGTATTCTACACAACACCAGTTGTACAGATTTGATAGATTTGAAAAGCATGTATAACTGTAAATATGGGGGGAGAAGGAGAAAGTTATGGTTAGGCAGAAGGTAATGGTCCTTACTGACATGGGTGACAAGGACCATTAACTTATGACTATGAGGTTAAATCACCTCCTGTTCTCCACTGTGGACAGTGGTACCCACTGAGTGTGGTTCCAGGGTGTGCAGTGAGTGCCAATTACTGCATCACCACTGCCATCCTCTTGAGCCCTTCAGTGCAAAGAACGAAGTGTGTGGAGCATTCCCACTACAAACCTAGGGCTGTCTTGTGCCCTCAGCCCATTTGCCAGATGTAGAGATTGTAGTTCAAGGTAGCACAGACACATGGCTATGGTCCTAAGCAATTCTAGAGCATCCATGCACAGCAGTCTGTTTTTATCATCCTCCTACTGTATTTCTCATCTGTAACCACATCTAATTTTTTTTTCAGCTGACATGACCGAAACAGAAAGTGCCTCTACATTTAGATTTATCGATTGTTATGAGCAAGCCACTTCACAGAGGTTCCAAGAACACATCCTGAGCTAAAACAGATTCTGAGAACATGAGGTGCCAACCCTAATGGATCTGTTTGGTTTTACATACTAGACATGACCATCCCTGACTGGTTTCAAGATCTTCAAGAAGTATTCCCTCTGCCCAAAGAAATCCATTCCACAGTTTTCAGCATCCCTCCCTGACAACCAGGATTTCAAATCCCTTTATCTGGAGGCAAACAGAAAGAGTGTGCTTGTGGTGAATAATTTGAGCTGATATTCTTGCCAGCTGTTAAGGGACACATGCAAAAAAAAAAAAAAAAAAAAGGAGAAGTCAGTGACATCTGGTCAGCACTGATATTTCCTAACAGAAGTATTTGTTTCGGGTGGGGAAGGGGTGGTGGGGGTATAAAGAAATACCATATCCACGCACCCCTTTGCCCCCTTTTGAAAAGTGAAAGCGATAACATTGACCACAGCAACTGGAACAAAAATTGCAACTTACATCATGGGGAAACAGTGACATTACATTAGCCCATATTACACAATGGTTGAGCAGTTGCTTTCACACACTAAGCTTTCAACTTTAACATTTTTTTCCCCTTAAGCTACACAATGGATTTTTTTGCTGAGTTGGAAAATATCAGGAGACAGGCAGAAAGCCTTCCTTTTGTTCCTTCATCCTGCCGAGCACCTCATCATAAAGATTTTTTCCCTTCTGTTCTGTTTTGCTTTCCCAACTTCCTTTCCCCTTTTCACCCTCCACCTTTTTTTTTTTTCGTCAAATAAATGTGACTAATTAACAGCAGGACTTCTTTCCACTAAATTGTAAAACCACCTCCTTGAACTTCATGAAGGTGATAACGTTGCACCATGATTTCTTCTTGGGGAACAGACTTGTAAACTACCTTCTAAATGATGGTTTTCTCGGGCCTCAGACTGGACGACAGGTTGACTTCAGTTAAAGAGTAACTTCAGCTCTCTCCTCTTCTGGACCTTTTCAAGGAGGTACACCCAGCTCAAGTCAGTAGATAATAGAAATCCCAGAATGGAAACACATAAAAAAAGTTGTTTCCTGGGGTCAACAAAGGACAGGAAAAGAGCCAACAATTACTTAAATAAACAGTATTCAGAGAAAAAGAAAAAATAAAAATATACATGCCTGCGCAAACTGAGTTACATATGAGGGAAGAGATGGTTTAAAGCAACTCAGTGCTCATTCTGCTGAAATTTAACTGTAAGGAAAATGAAATCAAACCCAAATAAAATTAGGAGGCCACTTACCCTCAGAAAAACATCCTCTCCTCTCTCTTCGCACCTCATAATAATACTCTGCTTTTATATCACACTTTTCATCCTAAAAGCAGTAATGACTTGCAGGGTGGACATTTCCTGGGGATTAATGACTAGCTGAAGGTTAACGATTTTCTGCTCCACCTCAAACCAACAGCTCCTCCTGACTTGTCAGTAACTCTTCAAAAATAATCCCTACATGTCAGCTGCTACTGCTTATTAACATGAGGAATAGAAGAATGGTAGAATAATTGTGAGTTTTGTACCGTATACGTAACTTAGAAGAAGCATAGCAGGAAAGAGAGCAGGGAAATCAGTAATGTCTTTAAGCTGCAAGAGAAAGTTGCAACATGAGGAATCCAGTATTTGCTTACTAATGACTATCACTGGCAATATGGCAAAAATCAACCATCCTAGCAATTGCTCTAAGCATTTCTGGTTCCTCAGAGAAACCATAGGGCAACTGCAGGGAAAAAGAGGCAAGCAAATTCATACTGCTGGGAGAAAATGGTTTGACTTTATATCCAGAATGCTCAAGGAAAAACCCAGGCTATACTGTACGCAGATGATCTGTGAATTCAAAATGTGGGAATCCATTTGGTCCCCAGCAGTGGCGCAGCTGGCAGAAGAGGACATCCTCTGAGAGTTTTCTGGCTGGCAAAATGTCATGTTCCTTTGCAAAAAACAGTGTGAAGGCAGGAAATGGGAGCCAGGACTCAGAAATCTGTGAGAACTGTGGGTCTGGCCCTTCTTGAGTCCCTCTGTAAGGAAGGACATGTGAGGACGCGCTATTTATTTTCTTCATTCCTTTGGGCCATGTTGCCAACATTTCCCTCTGTGCTTTGGTGTTAGAGACTGGCTCTCTGCCCACAAGGTGGGTGAGGTGCTCTGAGACAACGCATCTGATACAACAGACCTACAGTCTCCATTAAAGGAAGAAGCCCCAACTCTCTTGAATAGCTACTTCCAGAAACACAAAACGTATCAGAATACATGTCAGGATCAGCTGAGACACTCAATTCTATCTAATCAGCTTCTTCCTAGCTGTAATCTCTTCTTGGAAATGCGAGTTCAAACGTGTAAGACGTTTAAGGCCAAGTGAGGAGAGGTATACTTGTGCCTCCAGTTTGCTATGGCACCACTTTTTACCTTGTGAAGCCTTGTGGATGGAATCAATGTCTTGCAGAAGAGCAGTAAAAAGCCGTATCTCCTCTTCATTTAAGTCCTCAAAAAAGGACTTCATTGGCACACTGGTTTCTTCTGGCTTTATGTGCAGCTGCTGCCTTTGCTCTATTAGAAAAAGCCAGTGCATTCTGAATCAACCTTAAAAGGTCCAAGGAAAGGTCCCCCTTGACTCTATTATTTGAAATGACCTCTTTAAAAAAAAAAAAAATTACGAAAACACCTAGAAATAGAGAAATGAAGTAATAAAACTAATGAGAATACTTCAGTTAGGAAGAAACTGTATATACATCTCTTTACATCTATATCTGTATCTATAGCCATATGTGTATCCTTATCTATATCTGACACCCATGCACACATATACCACATACATCATCATACTCTGTTTCTATTAACTCTTCTAAGATTTTTTTAATTATTTAATGAAACTAAATTGTTCCTTCAAGCATTTTTGAGACTGTCTTCTCTCTAACAAATTAATTCCTCAGGCAGCTAGTGGCAGCTATTATCTTCCTCTGGGCTCCCCTGCCTAGCGTTTACTCTCCGAGAAGGGTACTCCCACAGCCAGGAGAGGGGTCTGGCACTCCTGGATCATAATTTTCACACTGCCCAGAAATGAGGATATGATTCTTGGCTATTGCTTTCCTTTAACGTATCCATCTCCAAAAAGGGAACTGGTGTGCTTCTTGTGGTGGTGTGGATGAATTCCTCAATCATTGCCTCCAAAATGAAGTAGAAATAGCAATGGGATTGCTTCTATCAAGAACCAAGTGGCAACCTCACAGAGACCACAAACAACCCTTCAGAGCACACAGCACTTCAACTACAGTAATAACCAGCACTTCAGGAGCAATGGCTTGGGAAGAAAAGTGTTGTATGATTAGGTGAGCCTAAGTGGTGAGGTTCAGTGTGAGTGGCAATGAAAGTCTTTTGGATTACAAGTTCTTTGAGAGCAGTCAGAACTATTTATTTAAATTGTTGATCTTGTGCAGTTGAATTTCAATGTTATTGTCACTGAAGCAGCATTAAATTATAGAGTCTCATAGGTTGACTGAACATGAGAGCAGAGTTAGCAGGTGATCTGAAGGACAAGAAACACTTCCGCAGTATGAAAATTAAGCTAGTCACATCAGGAAGGTTGCTCAGAACTTCATGAGGATCAGCCTGAAAGGTGAGTTGTGCTAACAACTAACTGAATATTAATCTTTATTTATATGACTCATTTAGCTGTAGCACCTTGAGTGCTACAGGGTGGGATTGAAACAAAAACACAGGGTGGGATTGAAACAACATCTTCAGAACATTATACAAGAGCTAAACAAGATTGAGGCACAAAGAGATTAATTCAGAAACCTAGTTTCCCATTTCTGGGGCAGCACCTAGAATCATTTAGCTTCTGAGCTTTGGATCACAAAGTTCCCTGGAATTCCCTCATCACCACAGGAGCTTTAGGATCCTGGGGGCAGGCATCTGCCTCCAGGCCAAGTTCATTGGATTTTGGAGACATCTATGCTCTGCCTGAGTACCCTGACAGAGCTGATCTCTTGGTGAATCTGGATTGTGCATAATGCACTGAAGAGCATCAAGGCCCTTAAAAATGATGCTAGGTGTGGTGGAGCAAGTGACTGCACACCTTACTGAGTGCACAAAGACAGACAACAAAAGTAAGTGTGGAAAGGTGAAATGTATGGTTTGCAGCCATAATAGTCTGTCGATCAACTGGCAGAAGCAAAAGTGATGCAAATTATCCTCTCAGTTGGGAAGTTAGGAAATTTGTGGGGGGAAGCTAAACATACTCCTACATCGCACCTCCAGAAGAGAGTCAAGTTGAAGAAGATGGCATTCATGCTACTAGTACATCACTAAAAATCTGTGATGGACAAGCTGATAGCCAAAAATAATAGTTTAAGGAGTAAGAAAACAAGCCCTAGTTTGATGGAAGTAAAACCTGGCCTACCAAAACCAGAAACAGAAACAAACTCTGATGACTTCAGTGAAGTTCAGATTTCAAATTCTGAAGAATGAGAATGTGCTGAAAAAAAAAGCCTTCTGGGAACATCACATGCCAGTCATCTGTGACTATACACATGTGCCATGAAAGCTCAGGAACGAAACAGTTTTGCATAAGGAGCAAATTAGGCTTGACCTTGCAGAACCTCACAAGAAATTGAGGATTAGCACTAGCAGAGACTATTTTGGGTCACAGAGGGTCTTCAACTGTAAGGTATTTCCTATTTTTCTATTCCTCTTTTCCTCCTGATGCTTTCTGACCCTCAGCTGCAATGCAGAGAGCCTGACGTGGCAGTGAGGTCAAAGTCTGAAGACAGATGCAGTCCCACACTGTGCTCTCTGGCCAACCCTTTTTCATTAATGGAGGCACAATCCAATGATTGCTGCAATTTTTGGCACACACGCAGTGGTGGGACTGAATCCCTCCACACCGACTTTTGCAGGAACACAATGAGATCTCTGCTCCTTGCGCTGGCCTCCCACCTTTTTGTTGATTACAAGTAAAAATCAAGAAAAGAGTGTGTGTGGTGAGAGAATACCATATTTTACAGTAGGTAGAAGGGGTCACAGCGCGTGTGCATGGCCCGAGTGGCAGTGTGCAGTATGCGCCTGGAGCAATGTGCACTTACAATTAGTTGAATTTCACTGTGTTGGAGATGGAAGCTGACAGGCCACCACACAAAACCTCCCCGCAGCCAGACTCATGCTGAGATCCAGAGCGGAAAAGGATTTTAACTGAAAGGCTTTGAAGGCTTTAAATATGGAGGCAGTGAATTCATGCACTGTTTACCTTTGCAGGCCTGGCTTTGACTCTGTCTTTCATTTTGTTTTAATGAACTAGGTGGTCTCATGTAATTCCCAATTACTGCAAAACTCCAAACCCCTAAACCCCATAGCTCACCCAATATTCACTGAGGCTCACCCAAATTCTGAAGAGGTGACAATATTGCGGTATTTAGATAGAAAGAGCTCAAAATAGGCATATATTCACATAACTGTCTATTAAAGGGGCCTAACAGCTTCTGAACAAGCTACGTGCTAGTGGAGCCCAAATTAAATGGACTAGAGGTCTGGGCTACTGTGGAAATTTCTCTGTTTCCAACCAAAATAGCATTCTTCTGTTTGCAGCCTATTTATTTAGTACTGATCTAATTTCTAAAAAGACCAAATTATTCAGAGGAAGGTCAGAGAATTGCTCACAGGTGCAATTCACCTCTGGAAGATGTTTCTTTCTGCCCTGAATATTTTGTTCTGGTTTTTATTCTAAGAGATGAGGACTATCATACAGCATGCATGTATATTTTAGTTTACCAACTGATGCTACATGAATGATATTCCTCTGAAATTCCTCACTCTTCTGTGAATCACTAATCTTATACCCCACAGCATACTGTGGAGATAGACTCATTCCATAGACTCTCCATCCAAGCTTCTCCCTTTCTCTTCCTTACCTGCGGCAGAACATTCTCCCCAGCTCTTTATCCACGGCAGCAAAACTCACTGAGCACCTACGCTACTGGCAAACCTTTGAGCAAAGTGAGTTTAACTTGGATGAAACAGAGAAAGAATCCTAGGGAGTAAGAGACTCCAGCCAAAGCTCAGCTAGCTCAGTTGTCATAACATGCATCTCTCACTTGCAGTTCTCTGAGTGCTCTCTTTTCATCTTCCTGCCTAAGGACTGACTCAGGCTGAGCTGGGACTAGTGCCTGTTAGACGATTACCTCTTCCTACAGCCTTCCAAATAATTTCAGCTAGTGGGAATGCAACAACTCCATTTTAGATTTTGGAGATACTCTTAAGTATTCCCAATCTTCAGACTCTGAGCTACAAGGGAATTTAGTGTACACAGACAGATTTGTTAGCAGTTGACGTTTATTAGTGTCCAGACTGCAGCTGCTGAAAGTTTTCAGGTGATTTCTTTTCTTGGCAGTAAGATGGGGGAACCAATGAAAACTGAAGAGGAATTTCTTCCATGCAGACACATCACTTACTTACTTCTCTCCAGCTCTGGAGAAATGAAGTAGAGAGTACACTGCCATCCTTCCACACAGATTGCCCCTACCCATGGTTTCTCTGATGACAGAAAGGGAATGGTGGGAGCTTAGAAGGGTACCACAGGAAAGAGCATCGTGTCTTTTTTTTTGCCCCTGCTTTGAGAACTGGGGTGTTGCTTTTTCTTAGTGCCAAGTAACAGAGATGCTTGACGTGGGTGTTGAAAAGGACAATTGTGTATATGTAAAAGAGGAGATGTATGGAGATGTATGTATGGCAAAGATTCAATTGCAAAAGGCATGACTTGCAAAAAACAGGTTCCTCCTAATCTTTTCAGACTTAATTTCCTCCTTGTCCCTATCCCATGCACCTATGTCTCACAGCTATAATATTACACAACCTGCTTGTGAAGTGCAGTGTCGGAATTAGCTCTTTCAGATGTCAAGAATCCACTTGCAGCATGTATCCTTCCACCTGGAAAGTGCCTGATGGGACCTGACCTTCTTATGCTTCTGCTTGTATTCCTGAAAGGTGGATTTCCCACTTTGCGAGGCTTCACTGCTTTGCCAGTGGTTCTGACACCCTTCACTGTTTTCCCTCTTGTCTGCAGTGGCAGGCACAAATTTACCTTGTAGAAAACATCACTGGCCAGCACCATCTGGCCAGACTTTGAAGCATATGTTGGTGTCCTAGTTAGGCAGACCATCCCTGCATCTCTGGTGTCCCATGGCAAAATTGCTGTTCCCAGGAGGAATCTGGGTCAGACAAGGTGGCTGTGTCTTACAGTGTAATTGAAAGTCCCTTTCATAATATCCTCTTCATAATACATTATCTCCTCATGATAGAGGAGGTATCAGCAGCCTAGAGAAACACTGATAAAATTAATGATTAAAGCTGTCCTCTCCAAGGCATTAGTTTTTATTAAGCTCTTGAAGTTCATCTTAAATTTCTTCCTTTATTATTTTAACATCTTAGGCTCAGCTCAGTTTTTCAGGTTCCCCTCACATGAGCTTGTTTCATGAAAAACTGAAATTCTGAATAACTGAAAATGTAATTAAAGTCCTTTGGATGTACCTGCATGCGAGTGAGCCCAGATGTGCTTCCACTGACATCAGTGGAAGTTGGATTTAGGCCTTCTTGCTCCTGTTTTTGCAGGTGGAATTGTAACTATGGACCATCAGGCACTGGGGACTGGGCTCGGTAGCCTAAAAGGTCCTTTCAGAGACCCATGCTTGCACAGACACCCGCCCAGGGGTCACCAACAAACAATGGCATCCACCTGCAATGCACTGCAGGCTTTAGTGGGGCCTTAATACCTTGCATCCTCCCCAAGAAATCTGTGTTCACAAGAGGTCTTTACCACTTCAGAGGACTCCCCTTTGCCCTGAAGCCTTTTGTTGGTTTAAAGAGCAGATGTGCAGACAACAGCAGTGCCAGCTTCCCCCAGCGTCCCCCAGCACTCACCTGGAGGCAGCAGCTGAACAAGAGGAGGAGTTGGTTCAGCCCTACTGTTTTTTCAATTCTTCAGCCTTTTAGCTGAGCTGGCCTCAAAAAAGTACCAATTACTGCCACTTGTAGCAATGGCCTTGATGATGGGGAAAGCTGTCAGATGGGAAGTGGACTGACACAACCAGTTCATTTCACATAGGTCAGCAAACAGCCATCAGATTAAAATGATTTTTGTTCACTATCGACCTGGGCTCGATTGGAACCAGTGACCCAGAGATGAAAGGCTCAGAAAGAAGGGTTTCTATCTTGTGTATGGTCACACATCACTTCTGTCTCCACCTCACTCATTTTCTTGTCCAAAACTCTTTTCTTTTTCTTTTCTCCACCCCAAAAATTATAAATCCATCCTCTACTCTTTTAATTGCAATGCACCATATGGGGATCTGTTGAGGTTTTGTTAAGGCTTCAGTAATCTATTAGTCATTCTCTCCTTTGTGTTACAAAAGATCTATCCTCCAAGAAGCATGTATTGATTTCAGCATTTCTGCAGCTTGTTTGGGTTTAGAGGGCACTCTGTGAAGTAAAACAGAGCCTGGTTTGAAATCAACAGTGATAGCAAAATAGAATCAACAGTATCAAGAACAATCTTACAGAGAATTCAATATGCAAACTATACAAGGGAAAGTTAAATGTATGGGAAAGGAGATACAATGGTAGCAAAGATGTGCTTCTTTTGGGGAATAAGGTAATATTCTCTTGGGTCTGAAATTTCTCTATTCATTTTAAGACATGGGCAACTCTTTAATTCTATCTTATCACAATTTTCTCTCAGTTTTTGTTCCCTAGCCTCTCTCTACAACATGCACCATTCTAACCTTCTGTTTTTTGTTAGGAAAAAGGACACATACTGGGAAATGAATATGCCTGACAATTTTTTTTTAAGGGCTAATATACTGTTTCAGACATTCTCCATTTATCCTGTCTTTGAGAGATCTTCCTTCTCATCTATGCTTGTGTTTAAGTCACACTGTAGTAACAGGAGTCTCAACATTTTCCTGAATTAGGATTTTTGTTGTTTATGAATTTCACAAGATGCTCACAAGTCTCAGTTTGTTTTCAGCACATGGATAGTTTTTTCCTTCTATGCTAGGGACAAAACAAAGATGATATAAATGCGACCTGGGTAAATGTTAGAGCTTATAAAAATTGCACCAATAAACATGTGTGACTCTGTAATGGCTCCGCTTACCATGATCATGACATTAACACCCATTTTTTAAGAATGGCAAAAAAAATCTACATTAAAATGCTACGTTCTCCCTTCTCCTAAATGAATAGTGCAAATATGTTAGCCCACTACTTAAATCAATGTAATTTTCAGGCATTCAGAACAAGACATTTTCCTAGGACCATATTCCCCTGTAAAATTCATTATCTATGATAAACTATTCATTTTGATTAAACCTGTAATCCGTCCCCTAAAACACTGGTTATTATCATCCTTGCTACAGTTGAGCAGTATCATCATCATCCTCACCACCTTCATTACCATATGAATCACTGGTAATAACTGATTTTGTTGGGATAATTGCTCCTTTGTCATGTCTGCTGTTGCATTTCCAGTACATGGGTGATGGTTGAAGACCAGGAATGGGCAGTAGCCAATTCCTCCAGACACTTGCATTTACTACACAGAAGTCTGCAGGCACCAACCCTCATTCTGAAGCTTTTACCACTGACTAGCACTGGTCTTTTGGTCTTTAGAGGGAGAATTCTTGCTTGCTTTTGAGAATGAGCCTTTTTCATTCAGGTGGTAATACTGAAAATACATGCTCCAGAGAAATGGTCTTCAAAGTTCATGGCCCTGCACCAAGGCAGGATCAGCTCTACCTATCTTTCTCTCTTCCTGAGAGTTATTTTCTAACTGCTTTTTTAAGACCTTCAGTGACACAGATCCTGCAGTCTCTCCCAGTGATCCAGTTGGGTGCTTCACTGTCACAACTGTCAGGAAGTTTTCCTAATGTCTGAACGAGCTCCTGACTTGTGGACAAGGAGGTCAGGTTATTCTCTTCTTTTTCACTGGCAGCCTTTCACATATTTGAAGACCTGGTGTTCCTAAGACTTTTCTGAATGTGCCTATCCCAAGTTGTTCAACCTTATTTCATCTTGTCTGGGCTTTTTCAACCTTATCTCATCTTGTCTGGGCTTTCTCCAATTTCTGTGCATCTTGCTTCAACAGCGATACTCAAATTTGCACAGAAAATCAATGGTGAGCTAAGTACAGGACTGTCATACACTGACGATACCTGCTGTAAGGTCAATATATGCCTATAACATATAAGGTATATCATAACTTTAAATGTATTTATGAAAATAGATATACTATTTTCTAATGTTTATGGAAGCCAAATTAATATAGCAGCTGCATCATTCATTAAAGGCATACAGTAACTGCAGTCTGGTACAGTTCTAGCATGGGGCTGGCACTTGTGGCTTTACCAGTTGTTTTTCTTAGGAAGAAGGCTATTCTGTCCTTGAAAAGGCTATTCTGTCCTTGAAAAACTGCTAGTCAAGTTGCCACATGCCCTGGAGAATTCACTTCCAGCATTAGAAGGTTAAGATTCCTGTTTTTGTCCAACTAGAATGAATTCTAGAAACAGGATTGTTTCTGCTGAATTGTATATCACTATTTTTTGCTGAGACATCTCAGACAATGGACTTTTGAATGTTTTTTGCCATCTTACATGCACACAGAGTATACTGAACACATTATTGTTGTATGGTGCAATGGCTGTGTGGTACTTTGCTTGTTCATTGAGGTAGCTGGTCCCATGACAGCACCATACTGGAAGCTGTGGCTAGAGGCATGCTGAGCCTTTGCTAGGAAGTCCTGCTGAGAGATGCAGGAGAAACCACTTTGGATCCCTGAAGCACTATTACAGCTGCATGGCCTCTAGAACAAAATTTTCTTGGTTTTGACTAGGGTGGAAAGAGTTTGTGCTTGCCTGGAGTGTGGGCAGAGTGAGCTTGTGTCAGCCTACAAAGCTATTTGCAGCCAAACCCTAAGACAGTGATGCAGACTGTAGATATTTCTTTAATACGTTCTGATTCATTTCAAAACTCTGGCCCCTGGAGCTTTTCTGAAATACTGTCTAACCAGTTGTTTTCCAGCCTGAGTGCAGTACACCATCGGCTGTCAAGGGAGCTGGTTTATGGAACTATCTTCCCTTTAGAGTGAATTCAGCTAAAAGGTGAATACTTAAGGTACCTCATGACAGGCAGAAATCTGAATGTCACAAGTCTCTGAAAGCCACATAACTCCCACAGTGAGAAAATATCTACACTCTGCACCACTTATTCTCCAACCAGTAGCTGTTTTGCAGGAACACAAAATCTGTTACCATTCAACAGAGTACTGATGCCTAAATAGGATGGGTCCACAAATAGGACTATGATACTGCAGAAATATGAACAACAACAGAAGAGGCAGTGCACAACACAACTAATGATGGAGTTGTTACAGCTTGGAGAAGTATTTCTTGCTAGATATTGTGCAATTCTCTGAAAATGTTGCACATCAACAAAGTCTCTATTACTGTGCTCAGTTCCTTTGCTGGCTTATTTTTAGACACAGCTTCTGTCTTCAAGATATTTCTGGGTAAACCAGGGATTGCATGGTATGTGGACCAAAGCAAATTGTGTGAATGCTGGTAAAAGAAAACTGCAGAGTTTTGTCAGCTCATTTGACTATCTATCTGCTGTGAAAGGAAGTTCACTGTCTGGCTGCAGTATTAGGAATAGAAAATTATGCAATAATAATAGTAATAAAATCAGGAAATATACCACTTTTGCTCTTTCCTCATTGATCTGCAAGAATAGCTGGCTTCTACGCTTTTGTAATGCTACGTTGGGTTGCAGTTACTGGCTTTAAGATGCATTAGTGCTGGACTATGTGGTAATTCTTCTTAAAGTCTAATAGTTTCTTCTCAAAGTGCAGTAGTTTTATTTAAAATCTGGCACTGAGTTCCTGCACAGCATCTTGGCTCCTGTATCGCCTAATCTGTATTTTGGCATTGTTTCCATGAAGCTCAGACCCAGGGATTTGGCATCAGAGCCTAACATGTTTCTCCTCTCACTTTTCCTCCACTGCTCCCCACCAGCTAAACTGAAACAAAAAATAATGACAACCTATATGTTCCAAGTGAAGGGAGAAAAAATGGCCTATGGTAGAACTAACAGGCCTAGTGCTGTACAGAAAGGAGTTTTCACTGACAGAAATAACTGAATTGCAACTAGATAATGAAATCCTGTTTAAAAAAAAGCCCATGAATTCAGGGTGAAAAAAAAAAGGCTGAATATCAGAAATGTTTATTCTAGTTTATTTTTGTTATTGAATTGTTAATTGAGTTTAAGGGAGGATATTTCTCCTGGGAACACTGTTTCTTCAGTGCAGAATAAAAACTTCTTTTACCTAGTAGGTGTCTCAAAATGCCTGGATTTCTCTCTCTGATTAAAACCCAGCTAATACAAAATGTGCTCTGATGCTCATTTCACACAGAATTATCTGGGGAAGCCAAGCCTACCTACTTTTGGGTGAGAAGAAGGAGTGGCAGTACCCTAAACCAGCTGTAGGCCCTGTCTCTGTCACACCTTTTTGCACCAATGCAGTGGTGCAGTGCTTTGGACTTTAAAGTCTGTTATTTCTTTCATTTTCTTTAGGGAGTCTATCACAGTGTTGATATGCTAAAAATGCAGTGCATTGTCATATTTGTTCTGGTTAGAAGTGATATTTTACTGTAACTGTGCACTTATAAGAGGAATAAACAAAGCATTGGAAAAATATTGAAAACAGAAGTCAGAAATAAGAAAGTGTGATGAAAAAGATAAAATTGATAGCAAAGGCTATAATAAGGGGTGAAATGCAGAAAATGGTAAGTGAAAGCCAAAGTTGGGTAAATCCCTATCTGGAGTTTCTGAAGACCATGAACAGCAATATTTTTTAAACTACAGTAGGAACAAAATAAATCCTAATGATGGGATATAAGTATTAGCAGCTGGAGATTACAAGAAAAGATTCTCTGGATGTGGAAAAATAGGTATTTCACTGTTGTTTTTTTTTTTTTTCTTTTCCTGATGTATTTCTATTTTATGAATATCACAGAAACTCCTTTCAGACACTGAGTTACTGGAAGGAAAACAAGGCATCATCTTTTAGTGACAATCATTTATAAACCATCAGGGCTCAGTAACTTATACCTGGAAGTTCAGAAATCATTGACTGAGGAAATCTTCAGCTTGTTGGTATTCAATTTATATCAGAGTACCAAGGATACTCCAGCTGTACAGAGTGCAAATGGCCTGCTGATATTCAAGGAGGGCATGTAGGGTGATCCAAGTAATGGTGACCCAAGTAACAGTGACCCAATTAGCATACCATTTATCTGAGGGGAAATAATGCTTAGACTGATATAGATTTTAATCAATAAAGAATTAGGAGATGGATATACCTTTGGATCAATGACACCAAAGAAGGCTGATCTTGTCAACTAACTGCCAACTCCTTCCTTAATGAGTTTCAAGGTTCAACTTTTAAAGATAACTACAGAGATATACTTCATGCAGCATTCATGCTAAGGGAACCTAAATTTATTTAAAATACCACTCGACCATGGGATAAATAAGTTAATAGCTGGAAACTAGCCTGTGTTGAAGAGAAGTTATCCCTGGGTAATTTTCTTTCAATGAGATTGTTCCAAGTGTGCTTGACAGCAGCCAGATGCAAGCCTCATCCTGCTCATCTTGGAGTGAAAATAATTAGCCTTCTAAATATAGTTACATACAAAGATCAGCAGAATGGTTGAGGACACAGCAGTTACATGCAGCAATATGATCATGTGTCTGAGAAACACAAGGTGTTTAAAGCTGCAAAATGGTGCACACTTAGGAGCAAGGAAGTAAGACCACTCCTTGAGAAAGTGAGGTTACCTCCTGCAATATGGCAATTTTGGAGAGGGCTGGCAGTAAACAAGCTGCCTGAGCATGGCTATGGTAAATGGGTCAAAGCAGTCCTTAGGTGCTTGCACAGGATTCATAGAATCATAGAATGGTTAGGGTTGGAAAGGACCTTAAGATCATCTAGTTCCAACCCCCCTGCCATGGGCAGGGGCACCTCACACTAAACCATGTCACCCAAGGCTTCGTCCAGCCTGGTCTTGAACACTGCCAGGGATGGAGCATTCACAACCTCCCTTGGCAACCTACTCCAGTGCCTCACCACCCTAACAGGAAAGAATTTCCTCCTTATATCCAATCTAAACTACCCCTGTTTAAGTTTTAACCTGTTACCCCTTGTCCTGTCACTACAGGACAGATTAGCAAGTGAGAGTAGGCAATTTCCAATTAACAGCAAAGAAAGATCAAGAAAGTGGCTTGCAGTGAACACCCTAAGGAGTTCAACCAGTTTATATATTAAAGAAAATAAAAAAGGCATAAAGACACAAAGATTGCAAAGACATTCTTTCACAAGATGAAAATACCATGTTCAGGAAGGCTCTTTTACTCCAGTAGAGCCAAATCTGTCAAAACCAAACACTGAAGCCAGGCTTACTGAAATGAGAAGCTAGGCACATGTTTTTAAAGAATGAAGGTCATTCAAATACTGGTGCAAACTACTACAGGAGGTAGTAGTTTCCCATTTTTACATTTCATTTCATTAGGACAGGATGGGTGATCTGTTTTAATCAAGTACAGGTAATTAGGCTCAACATGGGAATAACTGGGCAAAGTATGATGGCATATGGTATGCAGAAAGTCAGAGCAGATGATCTAACAATCCCCTAGGTCTTTGGTTCTGAAATTATGAAATCCGTTTGATAAAATTTAGTGCTGGCAAAGTGCTGATATCCAAATCCAGGTTTGACCCAGGAGAGTCCTTAGTATCTCTAGATGTTACTGCTTTTACTGCAAGCTTCACAAGTGGATCCTGGAAATCCACTGAACTCACTGAAATCATACAGCGTTGAACTCAGACAAGTTTACAGCACTAACCAACTGTGAATGGGTCTGGGGAGGCTGAAGAAGGTGGTAACAGCAGCAGATGTTTGCTGCTTGGCAGTGACTGTATAGAGACAGCGGCAGAGGCTAAATGTTGAAATCAGCAAAATCAATGGGAAGAGTCTCACTAACTTAAGTTGGCTTAGGATGAGGCAGAACCAGAATCATGCTGTTTCCACTTATTTATATAGGAACAATTCAAATCCAGAGGAAGTGATACAGGCTTTAACATAAACACTATATGAGTGCTCCACATGGAAGTTGATGGTGCATTCATTCTCTCTCAGTGGCTACTACCTGCTGAAAGCTCCTCTCTGAGATGTCAGACATATTAGGCTTTTAAATATTTAGCATATCATAAACTCATAGGTTGCAATGTCATCTTTGCTATTGTGTGTGAAAAGGGTACTTGTCTTTGACTACTTTTGGAAACTTTGATTATATTAGTAGTC